GTTTGCACGTGGTACCCGAGGATTGCGATGACGAACACGTGGATGCAGCAGTCTTTTCGCGTTTTGTATTTGACGGCTTTTCGGATCACGTCGGGGGTCACCATTTGTGGGTCTATTAATAGGTGCTGAGGAGATAGGTTGAATCAAAGACCACACTAAAACTTAACAACCTTTAGTTATGCTTTTTGTTGCCTTATTACAAACGTCTGTCTATCGTCTTCGAGACCTCATCACCAACGGGGAGAGTCGGTCCTAGAGATGGGCGATGTTTATCGATGATGGTGAAACATCGATGTTTTGATTTCGATGTACGATGTTTTAACATCGAATTTGCCGTCTTCCTACCATCGATGAAACATCGATATTTTCAGAAACATCGAAATACGACATCGATCTAGAATTTTGGCCTTGGGCACACGAAATCGTGAATCTCGCTAATGACATACATTACCAAATATGAAAAATGTTCTTGTTTATCATGTAATTAAAAAATAACATCCATTAATAATCTATATGACAATATTATATTCCAAACATCGATATTTACAAACATCGATGTTTTGACGTCGATGATTTTTGACCATCGATGGTCCACTTTCGATGTTACATCGATTTTCAACATCGATATTTTCTAGTCGATGTCCCATCTCTATCGGTCCATCTTCTTTCGGCTGGTCAGGACGGCGCAAGCGCGCTCTGATCATTTTGTTTGCTTAACAACTATTATACTTGCCGCCACAACTGTTGTTGGTTCTTGTTTGTAACCGTAGCTCCACAAAAAGAAAACTAAAATCTGGCAGGACAATTTACCGGTCAAGCTGTACTAATCCAGTGACCATTGAAATTATGGAATCATAATCGAGTATTTCACGTGCTACCATCGAATATTATTCTAGACGACCACCATGTTGAAACCACATATTCTGTCGCACTTTTCAGCTCTCTTCTAAGTTTTCAAGTAATGTTGGTAGTTCAAAATGGTTCCGTACATGTCACTATTTAAGTTTCCTTCAATAATGTGGCGAATCTTTTTTGATTATTTACAATGAAAACGTGGTATTTTTTACTGAAAACGTATTGCAGAATTGTATGCATTGGTTCTCAATAAGAGAAATCCAACAAAATTGAATTTCGTTTATAACAGCGTCATCTATCATGAATCTAAAAAAATCTTTTAGACAAAAGATCGTGGACAAACCCTACGTACTTTTAGCCGCAGAATCCGAATCTAGAGCAGGTTTCAACGCGAAAGGGTACAGCTGGTGGGAGTGCGCAGAACATTGTTTTGGTTTGGCCTTACAAATATCCTCAGAGCAGTGGCAGCGATTTGAAATATCAAAATATTATTGGTGTTAATAAAAATATCAATTTTCTATTTTATTAGCGTTGACATTATACAGTAGCGGTCATTTCTACGGAACCACTCGATAAAAAGTCAAGTTGATAGCCCTGTCATCTAGTACTTTACGCCGAACGCGGTTGGTAGCGGTAGTTGATATGGCAATCGAAACTAGCACAACACGAATGTTTCGGTTGCCCTCAAATATGCCGCACTGTATTCCGTGCAGACTGTATGTTCTGTTCATCTATTTATTAAAATAAAATATCTACATTAACAATGGGGCCATCTAACCTGTCAAATTTTTGACACATATGTTTTCCCCCAGAAACCCGTCAAGGTCACTTACACCAAACAAATTTTGAAAATTTACACTAGGGAGTGGTTCTATAGAAAAGATCGCGACTTTAGAAAATGAATTTAAAGATTTTTGTTAATGCTGTATTATGATGTATTAGTTGAATAAAAAACTAAGTAAAAGAAGTAAAAAGGTAAGTGAGCAATAACAACTGATAAATTACGGTATAGTGTACAGTCAAAGCTATATAAACGACAATTATGCTAAAATATGGACTGTGATTATTATTTCGAGGTTAAAGACAGAAAACGTTAAGCCTTATTGTAATCCGGCTTTATAGTATTGACAAATTGTGCCAGAAAATTAAAAACCATGTAACTATAGTCATGGGTTGCTAATTCTCAGGGTTTTATCCCCGCTTTTATCTAAAGATTTAACTGTTGATTTAAGACTAATCGATTATAAAATAGCGTATGATACTGGTTTATAATGTGGGTTTCGTGAATTTTTTTACTCATGCTATTGTAAGGATCCAATTCGAATTTTTAAATTTCAAACGAATTCCGCGCGCACAAGAAACGGTTAGTGAGAAGAAGGAGAGGTTGGCAACCAACCACCCCAAAGAAACAGACGTGCGCAAAGCGAAGGTGGTATTGTCTTGAAAGATGGGTCACTTCGCTTTGACCGCTTGGAGAGAACGGTCGACTTTCTTTCGAGCGCTTCGAGCAACAGGTTGTATTTTTAATTGTGAATTATTCTGTGCCTTTTGCTGTTGTGTTTTGTTTTTCCAGTGTTGATCCAGTTCCATTGGAAAACCTAGCAGCCACCGTTGAGCCATTGGGTGTTCCTGATTTCTCACCGTTCTTACGACGAGGTTTTTGTGTTCCTTTTGGCGGTAAGCTGTGTCGGAATCTTCGCATCTTTGGAGAGGTATGTTTTGAACACCTGTTTCGCCGCGAGTTTCAAGCCCCGACGATGCTTCTGACCTCGTGACACTTCGACGCGTGCGCTTTTTTTCCACTAATCTCGTTTTTTTGTCTTTCATTTAAAATCCATCGCAGTAGGGCTTTACAGGAAGTGATTTCTAGTTCGGGCCATGCTTTATTTAGCTATATTTGTGAAATCTGTATTTTGGATGGCGGCAAACGAGTTGTTATTTTCACCGTTCTTTGTTCAGGCAGCGGCCATTTTGAAGCGTCCATTTTGTTTCTTTTAAACGAGCACATGTTTTAACTGAATCTATTGAACAAATTAACAAACATTGTGGGTCATGGGGGGACGTGCCTTCTATTCCTTTTATTTAGCCCATCGTTTATACAACGCCACAGGATTCATCGTATTTTGCATCGCATATTTTCGACGCCTATTATTTGGAATGACGAATTCGTCCAACGCCATTTTGCAACTGCAGCTTGTCTGCCATGTTTGTTTATGTGTTTTGTTTGGGGAAATGTATGTGTAATAATGGCCCACAATGCAGCTAAATAATTTCACGTTTGAATTTTAACCAATAACTTGACTGGACACGAATTAATATTAATCACATGTAAATCTGTTAACTTTACAATCTTTCACCTCATGCAATTTGTCTTTGTCTCACAATTTTAGCTTCAGTAATTTTCTTTGTTGTATAATTTGAATTGAATGTACATTCCATGCTCTACAGTTTTGACCTAACATAATATTTTGTTTGCACAAGTTTATTTCACACCAGATCTTTGTTTTATAAATCTTTGCTAAGTTTTGATCATGTAAGTGTTTTGTTGATGAATGTTTCTCTCATATAAATTATCGGATGTCCAAATTTGATCTCAATTAAGAATTATTTGTTGTTGAATTTCCGTAAGAGTGTGTGGCGAATTTAAATGTTGTTGATTGCTCTTTGTTGAAACTTTAACATTTGTTCGGTTGTAATGTCATATTAGGGTTATAGAGTTTGAACATTTAAATAGAATTGAAGGTATATAACACAATAACATGTAGTGTCGGCGATGGGCGCAGTTCCTAGTTGCGGTAGCGGAATGTACCGCGCTGTCTGCACAAGACGTGCAGGCTTTGAACTAGATTTCAGTGGGAACGGTCTTGACGACGAGGTAGTAGTTGACCAGACTTCACCGCTAGTTTTAGGCCGAAACGGCCTGCTTGGACGGCATGTTCGTCATGGAGGGGTGCTGTCTGGCAGGCTTGGTGTAGATAGAATCACCGTCGCGAGGGAAACCAGCCCAGACCGGGAGCTCCAAACTTCGCTCACGCTACGACACCCCCTCTGGGTATTTTGCTGTGCTCATAAATGAAATTGTTATATTTTGTTCTATGTTTGTTCGATCGCCACACTCTCATAATGATTCGGGTTCTGCCATCCAATTTACATATGTGTAGGTCTTGTGTTTGTTCGGTTTTTCGTGTGTGTATGTCTGTCAATCCGCGAGTGTTTTTCTTTCAAATATCTTAAGGGTTTTGAAATGTAATAAAATGTCGTCCGGGAATAAAACCAAGGGGGTTTTTGCGCTGAGGGGTAAATCTTCGCAGCGTATTTCCCCCTGTGAGGGTGGTGCCGTTTCCCCCCCTCCAAAACAATTTCTGTTAATTATTTCTTGCGCTCTCGACAGTGTATGCACTTGTATGAAAGAACGTCTTCCCGCCACTTTTCAAAACCAAAAAAAAAAAAAAAAAACACACAACGTAGGTTCTCATTTGTTAGACGATCACAGCCAAGGCCAAACTTTGAATTTTTGAATTTTTCGCGGGCCTTTCAAACTGTTTCAAGGTCAAATTTTAAGGCGGGAAGTTTGGGTTATCACACTATAATCCCTCACATTATAAACGCGTTGTTACGTAAACCTATTTTTTACCAAACAAATAAATTTATTTTTATTAAATGGTTATGTATTCTATTGTAGAAATTGCTCTATTTTTAATTGTTTTTGAAAGAAATATAACTCAGCGGAAGCCGATCCTCCCTTCTCAATACATCGATGTTACGCCACTGCTAGCCCGACTACAAGTTGCGCAACTTAAGTCCCGCCCCTGTACCCTTTCGTGGTGTAATTACTTCTACCTACAAGGAGAGTGGATAGTTTTTTGAACTGGAGTATTTCTCCCATGGAATGATTAAATTTGGAATCTGGATATTTTTTGTAGTGCTAATTTTTCGAGATATTTGAAAGTTTCAGGTTAAAAAAAAAATTAGCCTGTATATAACATAATGGTTATAAGTACACGATTTATTGTCATATATATGCAAAAACAATTTCATTTTTTGGAGTTTTAGTCATCGTAGAATAATTTCATATCTAGGGTGTAACTTCTCAGGACGCGGCCACCAATCTACGTCAAGGGTAAAAATAAATAAAGATCTGGTCATATACTACATATATTTATTATACTTATAAATGTATTACAAATGCAAGAACAAAAATATAATAAATACTAGAATTACGTCTGTGGAAGATGATTGATACCTACTACAAAAAGGAATTTCTTTTCATAATTAATTAGAATATTTTACGATCCCACATTACATTACAGTTACCTACAGCAAGTGCAAAATGTCTTAATTTCAGAATTATATATAGGTATAACAACTCCGTATTTCGTTTATAGTTTAATGTAGCTTACAAAGAAAACCTATTTACACACATGGCTCAACATAGTTCCCAGGGAATAATCCAGTGATGCCATCCATAACGCCTTCCCACCATCCATCATCATTTTTCTTGAGGACGTAAATAACCGCACTTTCTTGAAAACTGAGTTCGTCATCTTTATCGGCATAATAGTCATAAATTGCGACCACTACACATGACATAGAAAAATTAGATATCAAAAAGGACTCATCAAACAGCAAATTGTACCTTTCTCGATGTAATTCTTTGGTACCCATCCCGGTAAATCCTCCTCGTCAGGTACAATCGGCATAACTCCACTACTGTGGGGTCTACCAAAGGATTCATGTTCGTCCTCTGGTGGAGGCGGTGGTGGTAGAGGCGGCGAATGTGCTCCACTACTCCTAGCTAAACGCTGGCCATGGGCATGGGATAGCGTATGCATCCCTAGACTACCATGAGGAACGGGCGCATGCTGGGTCATCATCATTGGGTGGTGTTGGTTTGATAACTGCATTTCTTGTGTATTTATCAGGGGTGAAGGAGGTGCTGGGGAAAAAGTTTGTTAATAATAAAAGTTTGTAAGGCCACATTCAACTCGTAGCTATTTTAGTCTACCCAGTCTTCAAGGAATCGTATTTAGAAACCTGAGAACTGCGATAATGGTTGGACCACAAATACTACTTGGGATCGAACACTTCTGATTAAAACAGCTACGAATCGAACACAGTTTTAATATAGTACACACCAAAAGGAAAAAAGTAGTATACGGTCTGATTACATTTACTATTTTATTACTAACTGCATCGGCTACAGTTTTAAAAAAACATCGTAATATAATAGTTATTAATGATACTAGTTTGACATGGACATCATAATGAAAATGCATGTGATAGGCCGAGTGGTTATATCATACTAGTTTCATTATATCAAACGCGTATCATTCAACATTTTATCTACGACGGCCTTAAATTGTGTTAAAATAAAAAAAAGTGAAAATTTTAATTTGGAACGTTTAAATAATCTAGTGTATTTGGCGTTGCTGCAATATCGCGTGTTTTTAATTTTAAACAACGCCAAAACAAAAAAATTTTGAGTATTCAAGCCGCACATTTCAAGCAATTTTTCAAGAAAAACGTACATGATGGGTAGTGTGCGTGATTCCGATACAGACAGTATTCCATCGGGTGTAGAAGCGACAGCGAAAAACATCGTGGCTTCGCTGCTTCCTGAGAAATCAAAAAAGTCTTACGAGGAAAACTACTCAAAGTTTGAACAATGGTGTTAAGGAATTAAGAATATTTACAAAAGGTATTTCTTACATATGTTGAAGACCTTTCGAAGCAGCGGAAACCTTCCTCATCTCAATCTTAAAGTCCGTTACTTTATTGAAACATAATGTTTACTTAAGTGATTATGCGCACTTAATGCGTTTTTGAAAGGAAAATGTGAGATATTCTTTAGGAAAAAAAATCTAAATTTTGAAATAAATAGAAATAAAGAAGACGAAGGCCAATTTTCCAATATCATATCAAATATATACTAAAAAATTTTCAAAGATTTTTTTGCTACAAGTGGAAATTTGCAAATCAGCCTGTGGATATTAATTATACGTTTGGAAAATACATAGGACATTGCTTCCGACGATCATCTGCGTCATATTTGAGAAAATTATGGATGTCTTGAATTTCACTTGTTTCATTACGAAATGACACCGTCGTAGATAAAAAAAAATATGATGCACTTCTATCGTCTACAACTTGATTTAGGATAATCAACACATGGTTTTTTGGTGCTCTGAAAATTTATGAAGTGAAATAAACTGAGGTGAAATTATTAGTCTTCTCAACTTATAATGAATAAAAACAAATCTACAAGTTTTTGTTACAAAGCTGAGGGTAATATATAATTTGATCGTCAACCGTCCAATATTGTTATATTGTTGGTAAGTTTATTTAAGCTACTCATGCAGCTAAAAATTCGAAAAAAAAAGCTGCAATAAGCTCCTTTTCTGTGAAAATTACAGACTTCAATTTTCAAAAGTTGTTTTTTTCGTCAATGGCAGGAATGGAACACTACAATGACAATTTTGATTAAACGATATTGCGAATACCTTGAAACTAGTGCTCTTCAACGTCGGTTCGGTGCAACTTATGAAATTATTTAATCAAAAATGAATCAAGATATCGATAAAAAAGAAAAAAAATTACATTAATAACATTAAATAAAGTAATCGCAATAGTGTGCCATGAAATTTATTTTAAAATGATGTTGGCACTGCAGCTATTGGACGGCTTACTTGACAGTTATTTCACCGTATCAGTAAAATCGAACAAAGAACGTTTTGGTGTTGCCAACATTTTTATTTTAAAAATACACTGCCCGACAAAAAAAACTGGACACTTGAATATTTGTAAATTTAGGATAAATGTTTAGTGTTATTACTTTTTTTTTACTTTTTACTGTTTCCACGTGTTCTACAATAAAGTTATGTTTTCTAGTAATGAACCTATTAATGATTGTTTTTTTGGAATATTTTTTACAAAAGTTCGACCAGTTGTAGGTAATCACAAAAAATTCAAGTGTCCGAGTTTTTTGTTTGTTTTTTTGTAGGGGCCTACCAGAAAACTTTTTTTCGATTATATTATTTATAATATTAGGCATTTCCTCATAATTAAAGTATGTGGAGTAGTGTGATTCTCCAGCAATAAAAACTAATTTGTTGACATTTTTGGAAGTCCAGTAATTCCAAAGTGGTTATGCCGAACCTGTCTTCAATATACAGTTTAGTTGGATACCACTGCGTGATTTAATTAAAAAATGAACTGAGATCACACAAACAAAACAAATAATTTAAGAATTAATGTTTTGCAATATCTTACAAGATCCTCAAATTTTTAACTGACCAGAAATAATAGACCTCCGAAACTACTGAGCCAATGTTGTCAAATTTTGTATTATTAGGAACTTCATGTACATGATGGTAAAACGCTAACCAAAATTGGGCGAATCATCCCCACCAACAACGTGATGATATCCCTCAAAATTTTGTGCAATAAACATAACTTAAATTTCATAAAATAATATTCGTCCTGTTTTTGTTTATTATTATAATTGTTACTGTTCAGATATTTTTTTTAGCTACATAATACGTAGCTACGCAAGTGAACCTGACAGTCCTGTGATAAGGTCTCCCCATTTTCTCAAAAAAAAAGTATGAATATAGTACGTAATAATAAAACAATAATTATCATAATAACAGCTCCTCACCCAAAATAATATTCAGACCGTTTGGCTCCATTGAAGTTTAATTAATTAATTAAGCAGTTATCTCTTCCGTTTACGGAGAAAAATCAATGAAATTTTATTTTCTTTTAACACAAGGGCATGTGAACGCTGATGCTTGGTATCTGAATTTGCTAATCGTCGAGTTCTTTGGAAGCGTAAACATAAACATCGAAGTTAAGCATTTTACTATTACTGAGAGGGCATTTTTCCCATTGATTAGTTGTTTTAAATATATTTTTTATATTGTCCGCACTTGTAATGGTTCATGACATTTGTCTGAAATTTTGTACGTCATTTAAAACAAAAATTTATAAAAAATATCTTTATTGAAATATCCATCCTAACATGCACCACATCGTGTGGTTGCATCCTGATTCAAAAGATATCAGTAATTACGTCACAATTATTTATGGAATGAAATTCGCAAGTATGTTTATATAACTTCTGCAGATAAATAACAATGACAACAAGATAAGGATTAAGTATGCAATTTGTTTTTTTTTTTAATAATGTTTTGGGGACACATTAAAATTAATGACTAAACAAAATTTTTCCAGTTTAGATTTATCGGTTTTATAAACACACTGTCATGACTTTTTTATAGTAGTAAAAAAATAATTACAAAACTATTAAACGCACACTAAACCCCAAAAATTGCGAATAAGCTTCACAATTAAAAACTGAAAATTCTCAACTCCTAATAATAAATAACCTGAGAGCGACAGGATCTTATATAAAATGTTCAAAACATACTTAAATTTGTAGTTTATCAATGGGTCCATTTTTTAACCATGCATGTACAGATTTTTGCAAAGAAATAAAAATTTTACAATAAATTAACCAAAATTTGTCTAATCACCCTCTAAAAGTTTGAAGACGTCATTTTAAATGTTTGCTAAGTAAATTCCAGTTGCCATAAAAAATCTTCAAATTTACCTAAGAAACTTGATTTTACTTTAGGTCACACGGAATTCTACATACAATAGGCTGCTAAATCAGGTTTTAAGATTATATAAATATATTTTAAAATCATTAAATTATTTACTTGTGGGTGAAATATGTTAAACACAATCTAAGACATAATTTTTGGAATTTTGACACCAAAAACTTATTTAATCCTGCCATTAACGCTATATGTTGCCCGCACATTTTCAATTTAAATACTGTCGTTTTTTTTACTTACGTGGCATGCTCATGTGATGATCTGCTGTAATGTAGTTTCCAACATTTCCTGGTGGAGGCGGTGGGGGCGGCGTTTGTGGGTGTTGTTGAATTTGAAGCTGTTGCTGACTAACATTCATGGGATGTACCATCCCTACTTGTGGAGGTGAAGTCATTTGATGCTGATTAGGGGCCATGGGTAGAGTACTGTAACCAGGCCCCCTCTCAGTAGAGCGTCTGGCATGACCAATCGGATAATTAGGGGCATAATGACTAGGGACTTGCGGGGGAGCCACAGCGGGAGGGGTGCGATATTCGCGACTACCTTTACTGAGTGTACCTCCTGAAACAGAAACTACAAACAAAATTGATTTTTGTCTAAAAATATAATCGACAAGTCTACCTTTACTTGATGTCCTTGACACTTGTGGAGGCGTGGGTGGTTTAGTAGTAGGAGCCGGTCCTACCATGGAATTCGCAGATATTGCACTTATTGACTGGATACTCCCCTGACTGGAACCCCTTTGTTTTTGTCTTGGAGTGCCACTACTTCGTACACCGTGACCAATATCATCATAAACTAAAATTCATCATGTGTCTTAATTTCTACTAGATTTGTAGTAACTTACTGTTGTAATCAATAGGTTTTCTCAGATATTTTATTGGCTTTTCTGGATTGGCAGGAGCGATAATTTTATACTGTCGACTAGTGGATTTATTGGCTGTCAAAACTCCAATTTCACGTCTCGCAACTTTTTCTTTATGAATCATTACAGTCTGCGAAATGTGGTTCATCTGGCTTTCCATTTCCGCCAACTGTGCTGTTTGCAACTCCAACAATTGAAGAAAATTGTATGCAAGTGTATTGATTTGATATGCCACACTTGCTAATGACTGGGTGGTGTAATTTTTGGTTTCTTCCAAAGCGATGCGTTTATTATTTGACTGAAAGTAGTTTGCTTCACAGTATTCAGCCACCCTTTCCAGATTCGTGTGATTATCAGTTAAATTGCTGCGCCCTTCCGGAATTTCAGAGCGCAGCAAAGCTGCTAATTCGGCCATCGCGTCGCAGTCGCTCACAACTCCAGACTCTCTACTGGGGCTGCCTAAAATGCTTGTTTGTTGTTGATTATATTAATTAAATGAAGAATTATTACCGTGGGCGTAGTATCCAACATTCATAACAGACAGGATGTTGACACACGGTGGTACATAGTATGAGTAAATTCGGTTGATGGGAGGTTGCGAGTGGAAGTCGGGGGCTACACAGGCACAAAATATCGCATTAAATTTGAAAACTTACGCGCGGTTAATTAAGAATTACAAAAAAAAAGTTCAAAACTGACACTCAACTACGGACGTATAAAATGGATGACGGCAACCCGTGAGGCATTTGCACGCATGCGTTTGGTCTAACCATGGCTGCCAATACACAGATGTCTAACAGGAAAAGCACTAAGTGACACCAATATAAAATAGCCCGTGGGAAGTGGAAACATTCGTATTTTTCTGATGCTTTTTTTTAGGCTAAAATCTTTCACTTTAATCCAGCCCAACAAATTCATACTTTTTTTATTTATTTTAATTTACAGAATAGGATAACACGTTGAACCTGATTAATTAACAAAAACTTTAAAGAAAAACTGTAGTGACTATTAAAGTTTGTGATTTTTTTGTCAATATATTTAAAATTTTATGATGGCACACCTGATGTAAAATTCAAATTTTTGGCACCAATGCAGTTCCTGCAACCTTCTCATTGATTTTTACGCGCTCATGTCAAAATTGAGAAGTGTGAACTGGCATCGTAACATTGCTGCCAAAAATTCAGAATCGCTAACCCAAAAAGTTGCTTCAATCATTAATAGTCATCCGGTATTTTGTTGTTAAGAATTATATAAAATATGAAGTAATTAAAAATATGGAAACATTTTTTTTATATGTATAACACATTTTTCACATACAGAATGTTACAATTACAAACGCAATAAATATTCATAAAAATATAATATTAGATGCATAAAGAAACTAAAAAAACTATATATATAAATATTAAATTAGAATATAACTTCCGTCTGTTCGAATTTTTATTAGACAGATAATCTCTGAAAGTACTGAACCAATTGTCAAATGTCTGTGTTACGAATATCGTGTATATGGCAAAACGATAATCAAAACTTAACTAATCATCCCTACCAACAATTTGTTGACGTCATCTCCAAAATTTACAGTTGTATTATTTAAATTTTATAATAAATAAGATTTCCATGCAGTTGTTATCATAGACATCCTGATTTTTGGAAAAAAAATCAAAATTGCAACATCTTGCAATTTAACTTTGAAAATGCAAAACCGAATGCTCTGAAATTTTACAAACATTTTAAGGTTATCGTAAGCATGGTAAATCATTACATTTTACAATTTTGCCATACAAGTCTTCTTTAATTTATATTTCCCAAATATAAATTTTGGTGATTCAAAAAGCATTGTTTGTGATTTTAAATCCAATTCTCGTCTGAAGGACTGGGATTGGATTATAGGACGTTTTAGACAGGCGCGGATACAGGATTTCGTTCAGGGGGGGGCAATTTTTGTGTGATTTTACCTATCTACCAGAAATTCGTTCTAAACAAAAAAAATTTATAAAATTTTAGCTAGTATACTCTTTTTCACATAACATGGGTGACATTTGGTGATTTTCATTACACGTATAGTGTACAGTAGAACCTCGATAATCCTAATTCCTAATTGGGAAAAAGGTGTGTTCGGATTAACGATTTGTTCGGTTCGGCAATTTTCACAAAAATCTGAAAGGGAATTGAATAACAACTTCATACACAACTGAAAACAAACTTCAAGAAATAAACCTAAATTTTATTAAACAAAAATTAAAAAATTCTTAAGCAACAATGGATAATAGATACATTCTAAAAAAGTATTACTCCGTGACCATAAACACGCTATCTTTTTGGAATAAACACCCCGGGATCTATACCCTGAAATTTTTCAGAATTTTTAGATGAATTTTTCAAAAATGAAATTTTCCATTATGTATTCGTATTACCTCCATTACGCAAATTTCGACCCATTCTCGACGATTTTCGAAATTTAACTAAATATATTTTCTTGTAGATTTTGGACCTCAGAAGTCACTTCTGGCTTCATTTCTTCGATAACTTAAACCATTTTTCCAGAATCGTCCAGTTGAAATATCGCAATTTTTAAAAATTTCGAAAAATTCGAATTTCACAGCGAATTTTCCGAAAATATTGCTCCGTTACCATAAACATGGTTTATTTTTGGAATCAGCACGTCGGGATATATATCCCTGAATTTTTTCAGAATTTTTAGGAAAATTTTTCAAAAATGAAATTTTTCTCATGCAAATTTCGGCCCATTTTCGACGATTTTCGAAATTAACCAAATACTTTCCCTTGTAGATTTTGGGTCTCCGATAACTTCATCCGTTTCTCCAGAATTAGTTAATTAATTCAGTGCTTTGAAATATCGCAATTTTTAAAAATTTCAAAATATTCCATACAACATATGTATGCAGAAAGATCTTGCGTCATTTTTGGAAGTAGATGCATGTTTTCAAGTTCAGTTCGGATTGCAGAGTTTTTGTTCGGATTAAAGAGACATCGACTTCAAATAGCCACTGTTCGGATTACTGGATGTTGAGACAATCGTGAGTTCTGATTATAGAGGTTGTACTGTATTTACAAAATGAAATATGATTTCAAAATTTTGAAATTGATCAAAATAAAGTACTTCGGTCGTGTGTCAGGGGGGGGCAATTGCACCCATTGCCCCCCCCCTGGATCCGCGCCTGGTTTTAGACGAAATTTCTAAATTGTAATCAGTAGGTATCAAGTAAAATGGTACGTTTCAGCCCACATTTTTTTTTCATCTATTTAAGCTATTTTTTACATGTTTTTTCATCCATTTTAAGGTAATTTATCATTTTTTAAGCAAACAGTCACCAATTTTGATGCTGAAGTTTTTTTATTACTTTTTTATACATAAAAAAGTCAATTTTTGTCCTACAGTTTTTTTGATGCATTTTTTGAACATATCACCCCACTTTTAAGATTACCTACTTATTAAAAAGTTCTGTAGTTCTAAAGATTTTGGCCAGATTCCAGCTGATCCATATAGAAACCGCTGACTTTGAGATTTTTAAGAAAAATAAAAAGGACACTTGAAAGTCAAAATTGGCCTGTTTTCTTAAAAAAATGCACCATTTTACCTACTACTAATTTGCCGCTTTTTTTGGTTACAGACTCTTGCACGTGTGGTTCATGAATCCGTGTCGAATTTTCACCCTAGACATCCAGATTTTTGTATAACAACATTTTACAATTTAACTTTGAAATTGTAAAACCGAATGTTCTGAAAACTTGTAAGCTTTTGAAGAATATCCTAAGCATGGTAAATCGTTAATCAAAATGTTTACGTTTATGGCCTCCTAAACAGTGATGACGTCATTTTATAATTTTGCAGAACAAATGTTTCTTAAATTTTTATAGAACTACATACTCCATGTATGTGGAATTTAGAATAGAGTTACCCTTGACATTTAAATTTTTGGGAAACAATTGAAAATTGTATTTTACAATTTAACTTTAAAATTACAAAAGCGAATGTACTGAAATAGTGCAAACGATTTAAGGTTATAAGAAAGGAAAGGAAAAAAAAGTTGTTTGTTTAAGGCCTTCAAAAAAAAAATTATGACGTCATCTTAGGATTCTGATGGGGGACAAATGTTTTTTAAATTTTATAAAATACCGTATTTCTAAATGTGTGATTTATGAATCCATGTTGAGTTTTACCCTTAGCATCCAGATTTTTGGAAAAAAGTCAACATTGTATAACAATACATATTTTACAATTTAACTTTGAAATTGCAAAAACCCAGTGCTGTAAAATCATGCAAATATTCTAAAATTATTTTAAACATGCGAAATCGTTAATAAAAATGTATCCTTCATCTTAGATTTTTGTCGAATTCAAAAACTGAGTATGAATTAATTAATTAATTAGTCCTTTCCTCTGCTGAGGACACAAAATCAACCAAATTTCATTTTCTTTTAACCACCGATGCTAATAGTCGAATTCGGTCTAAGTATAAACAAAAACAGTCAAAGTTAAGCATCTACTGAGAAATAGAGTTTGTCAACATTTTTTTCTGTTAGCTACCTGCGGAGATGTTAATTATGCCACTTTATAGACGTTAACAGTTATCACAAAACGAAAATTGCAAAATCTAATTTTATATTTTTTTAAAGAAGATGAATTTGTCGGACTACTATACTTCAAGGGCGAAGGAAGTTCTGTCAAAATAACCTTCCACAATTTTTTATCAGCTTTATTTTCCTTGTCCTCAATTCGACACTGCTAACCACTTCCACAATTCTATTTAAATTACGATGAAAGCTAAAAAAGCCCAAGGCGCTAAACTTCAGTAACAAGCTCAGCTTTTTATTAATCTCAAAAAAATCGTCAATTTAGTAACTTTTTGGCACTGGCAGTTCTCCTTGCATCAAAGTTGTATTAATAATTGTTAATTAATCATTGCAATTGTGTCGTGTTCATAAAGAAATTAATAAAATATAGGATTAGTATGTTAATTTATAAAAAATGTTCTTCAGTTTATTAGTCGGTGATATTTGTGATGGCTGTTCACAACTTAATTTTACGTGTTAAAATTTCATAATTTATTCAAAATATTGTAAAATTTTTAAACTTAGCACATATACGGTATGGGAGAATAGGGAACACTTGAGGAAAGTATATGTACTTTTGATGTATGCATCAAAATAAGCGAATAAAAATTTATTTTGATTACAGAAAAAAAAAAAGAACTGTGAAAGCATCCATTAATAACAAAATAATGAAATATTACTTAAAAATAATTATATTCTTACTAAGAAGCACTTTGCGACAAGTACATTTTTGAAAATAGATATACGGAACACTTTTGATCACAAAAAATCTCACAGGACAAGCTAGTTCTAATGAAATATTAAAATATATATGTATATTTATCAAATAAATCATCAAGTTTCAACACAGTGTTTACAACTGAGATACATTTCTAAAAAATATCTTGTTTATCGGTTAATTTTAAATATATAGCATTCTAATAGGGTCATTTTGGCGAAGATCATATTCGGTATTTTTCTGAAAGTGAGAAGCTTACTGAACACGAAAATGAAATCCAAAATGCATCATCACATTTTGTACCAGTATAAGAGCACTTCCGTGTGATAAACTCAGTGCTTGTGCCTTAAAAAGGTTAAATTACTAATGCGAAGGTCGCTGATTCGATTGACTCACGGGTCACAATTTTTTTACTGATGAAATTAATAAAGATTCACATTTTCTCGAAAATTTAAAAATACAGTAATGTTGCACCGGTCTATATTTAATAATAAGAATTATCATAATAACAACTACTTATCCAGAATAATATTCAGAAGGTTTGGTCCACTACAGCTTAATTAATAATTTTAGTCATCTCCTCAGATTTGCGGAGACAAAATCATTCAAATGTATTATGTATGAACATAAACAATCGAAGTTAAGCATGTGCTAACTAATGTACTAATATACTTTTCCCTCTGTTTATCTGCTTTAAATATATTTGAGATTGTCGAGGCTTGTGCGGACTAGGCCCCCCGTGGCGCAAGGGTGCGGGGGTGTTGTTTACGCCATTACATAGAATGCTTCGTTACCTGTATTGCAACAGTGAATACATGGTTTTTATTAACTTGCAGGGGTTGTCATAAAAAGTAAATAAAATTAGCAAAAATATTTTTTTATTATGTGAAAAAGCTGTATTTGTTTGAATGTACTTTAGAAGCCGAAGACGTTCTGCCTAAATGACTTTACAACATTTTTTTTAAATTATCTCGAGGACACCAAAAGCGAAAGTAAGTTTTTTCACTCATAATTTCCAAAATTATTATTTCCTCATTTCAAAACATGCTTTCTTTTTACGTGTGATTTAACAAGTGTACATGAAATAATATATGGCTATTTATATTTTCTGGACCTCTGGAATTGCTGTAGGTTAATAAATTATTAAAGAAAACTTCCATTTCAACTATAATACTTGTACAGTAAACAATAATTAAAATTTTAAGAAGGTACTGATACTGACCTTAGTTTAGGTTTTACAAAATATTAATTAAAAGTTCGTTAATTCATTCTCATCGGAAACTTAATTAAGTACATTAACTTAAAAAATAATTCAATAAATCTTTGCTAACAAGACGTTTGGAGATACGTGGTTAGTAAGTGATTTAAATAAAATGAAAACAAGATTACAATTTTTTCTGAAAAGAAATCTCTCAAGTGAGCGAAAATAAAAAAATAACATCATTAAGTTGTCAGTGTTGTCACCAATATTTTTAAATATGTTTTCAGTTGTAGGATTCGAAAATGCAGGTTTTCTGTTTCCATCTGTAAGTTTGTTGGCGGCTTAATTGGATTTTCGAGACTACTACTGCTTAGTCGATTATATTATTTAAGAAACGATACAATCACGTCATGGTTAGTGTTATTCCATCAAAAATATAAAATGAAATATGTATTATGTAACATTCTTTTATTTTCTACACTTGGTTATACAGTTACGTTCAATGTTACATATCAAATTTTATCTTGACAGTGAAAGTAATCGGTTAAATGTCACACAGTTGAGATGTCGAGGATGAGATGTTAAATTTTTATGTAGAGTAACTACATATATGGGTTGCTTAGTTTACTGTTTCCTGTTTCGATTTCAGTAGTTTAGTCTTTAGTTTTCTAGTTAATTATTTATATTTAATAAGGAGTGAATAACACGTAAGTCGTATCGTTTCATTGTAGGGCGAAAAAAAGCAAGTCATGAACTCAATTTTTATCTTTCTCCACATCCTATACTTATTAACAACAATAAACAGAAAAGAGTGGAAATGAACGTATAATAGAGATTAGATTAAAATTATCAAAAGCATGCAAATCATTCCTTAAAGATTTTTAAACATTTCCTGATATTTACTATGTTGGTTTTTTTAAATATACCATCTACCTGTTGGTTCAAGTTGGTATCACCAATAAAAATCTCTCACTGGCCGTCAGAAGACTATCACACATAAGCATACAAAAAAAAGATAAGTCTTCAGTATATTAAAACACTAACATAACAACTCTTAAACTTCAACAGGGCCTTGACAGCAACCTTATTCGACGTTTTCTTTTATCCTAAAATGAAAACTTGATAGCATTATCATCGTTGTGAGATAGTATAAAATTAAACGGGCAATAAACTATAATTCTTACGAAACATCTTCTGCATGCAGTTGTTTTTCTTTGCTATGTAAGAACAAATTGGATGTTTATACATTATCCTATATGTTATTCACATTATTTAGGAATTTATTAATGTTAATTAATTTTGTTTCAGATTAGATTAGTAGAAAGTGTGGAAGCGAAACATTCATCGAAAAATTAAAGAAAATTATAAAATTATTATTTACAGTTACAAATGACTATAGTAAATTTGGAGATGACGGCATCCCATTGGTAGTCGAAATGATCAGCCAAATTTTAGTTAGCGTTTTACTATTTACATGATATTCCTAATATACACACAAAATTTGACAACAATCGGTCCAGTAGTTTCAGAGATTATCTATCTAATAAAATCCAGACAGACGGTACACACAGAGAGAATACATAAAACGTCGTGTACGAGCACGTTGTTAATTTTTCAAATTCTCGCGGTAATTATAAAAAATTTAAAATTCGAAAAATTAAATTTTATCATTTATAACATTTTGTACATTCTGAAAATTTCAACGTTAAACATCAACGGTCAAACATTACAATATATGGTTTATGGATTTTAGTAATTTTTTGCACTTAAAATTGCCAAAAGTTGCATACCTTTTTTTTCAAAATAAAGAGTTGTTGCATATTACACAAGATGGCGAAATACGTGTCGTTTTTAAAAATCTTTATTTGATACGTAATTGATATGTATTATTTTAACTAGTTTGTTTAAAAATAAAAGATAAGTTGGTGTTGTCGTTAATGACCTTAATGGTCCATGTATACAAATTTCTTATCTAAAGATGTAGGAACCGGATTTTTATACAAAAAGACATTTGCAGTACGGGAAAACTGTTTGCTGTGCAGTGTAGAAACTATTTACGAAATGAATAGCTTTAAACTAATCATATTTCCAAAATGTTGATTAGTTTGATGTTCCCCAAATAAACATTCCAAAACTGTTTGTCCAAGAAGCTCGGTCTCTGACATGTGTGTTGAAATTGATGTTATGTTTCACTTATCTTCTTGACTATCTTACGTTACCAATATAAAAATCTGTTGTCAAATACAACTTGGCTGTGTGTATGTATGTCTATTTCTGGTAGAAACTCAGTTTCTGCAATAACCGTCCAATATAGCTAATGTGTTTGATGCAATCTTCTTTATTATCTGTTTATTATATTTCTTGTCGTAAAAAGTGCAGTTTTTTTCATATAGTCAAACTAACTCCACTACTTTAAATGACACAGCACATAAACACTCAGATAGAACTGTTTTTGACCACTCTTTCTTAAGTATGAACAAGGAAAGAAGTTATTTTTAAGAAATTATCTGTTTCAAAATAAATTAATTACTATACAGAGATAAGCTAGATGGTGTCTGCATAAAAATCCGTTTTATTTATAATAGTTCCTTCATATAGCAACGAATTTATACACAGATCGTGTTAAGATGTTGAGCTTTGCGGTTTTGTTTCTCACATTTGTCTTATTGTTAATTTTTTATTTATATATAAAAGCAAAAGAACGACCCAACAATTTTCCACCAGGTACAAATATAATACCGCTTTTCCACTCAGTTCATACCTATATATTTTTACACAGGTCCACCACGATTGCCAATATGGGGAAGTTATTGGTTTATGTTAAAAGAAAACTACAATTTTGCTCATTTAGCTCTTGAAGCTTTGGGAAAGCGGTATAAAACCGACATTTTGGGTGTGTTTCTCGGAGATTTTCCCACAGTTGTGACATTTAGTCACGAATTATGTAAAGAACTTTTAACAAGAGATGAGTTCACAGGGAGGAATGACACTATTGTTACGAGAACACGAAGTATGGAAGAAAAAAGAGGTACCTTCATAAAAGTTTTTAACAGTGTATATAATATTTTGTATTGTAACAGGTATATTTTTTGTTGATGGTCCATTTTGGAAAGGACAAAGATGGTTTTCTTTACGTTACATGAGAGATTTTGGGTTTGGGAGACGTTCTGAAGTACTAGAAAACTCCATTGCAGATGAAATTAAGTACTTGCTGAATTTACTCGACAAGGAACCAGACGCAACAGATAGGGTAAGAAAGATTATGTTTGTATATAAATTTGTGCATTTTTTCGTTTTTCAGGATATTTGTAAGGGCAGAGGCCATGTGTTGGTACCGGACATTTTTTATGGACCACTGCTGAATAGCATATTTTCAATTCTTGCGTCTACTCGTTTTGATTATTATGAATTAAGAGAATGTGCAAGAGCTGGTTTAAGGTTCCAAAGGAGTGGAGATGCAACAGGGGCAGCTTTAAGTATGACACCTTGGTTAAGATTTATAGCTCCTGATTTTTTCGGATATACTTCAGTCATTAAAGATAATGGACACTTATTGGATTTCGTGCGGGTAACTACATAAACACACATTTTTTATTGTTACTTAAATATTTATATGGCTTTTTTAGAAAATTGTCGATGAACACTTGGAAACATTTTCCGATGATTACCACCGTGATTTTATTGATGTTTTTATTAGCGAGAGTACTAAAGAAGGTCAATTTGACTGTAAGTAATATTCTGTTTGTACGTGTTTTGTTGTTTATACTTATTTTAATTCAGACAAGCAGCTTTTGATGATCGTGTTGGATTATATGTTTCCACCTCCCATTGCTATTGGACACACTTTAAGCTTCTATTTTGCCTATATAATTAACAATCCACATGTTCAAACTAAAATCCAAGAAGAAATTGACAGCATTGTGGGAAGGCAACGCTTACCAAATTTAGATGACCGAAAATTGTAAAATTTGTAGTTCTTGTGGGGAAACAATAACTTAATAACTTTTTATTAGTATGCCCTACCTGGAAGCAAGTATTAGAGAAGCAGTTAGAATATTTCCTCTTAATCCACTTAGCATTCCAAGGAGATGTGTACAAGATACCTATTTAGGTGGATATTTTATACCAGAAAATACCATCATGATTCCTTGTATTTGGACCGCACATAAAGACGAACGTATTTGGGAAAATCCGGAAGAATTTAAACCTGAAAGATTTTTGGACGAAGATGGCAATTTGCTGAAGAAAGATAATACTATAGGATTTGGAGCAGGTTTGCTACTTTTGTTCAGTTATTTGTATTGGAGATTTTTTTTAGTTTATGTTTTAAAATCACTTTAGATTTTACCATTTTTTAATTCAGTATTTTTTAGTAGACCTGAGAAATTGACACTGTTTTCTTTTCCAGGAAAGAGGTTATGTGCAGGGGAAACATTCGCTCGTCATTATATGTTTCTCATTGTGGCTAGTTTTCTTCAAAATTATACCATACAAACTCCTACTGGAGAAGCTGTTAAATTCGATATAATACCTGGAATTAACTTATCGTTGAAGGAAAATTGGATCAAAGCAGTACCACGCTAACTCTTTTCAGACGAAATATGTAAATACATGAATGTCTATAAATGATAATTCAAACTTATTTAGAAATATCGTTTACTGTTAGAATTTAACTTACAAATTTGTGGAATTAGTAGGTAGTATTTGTTTAGGCAGCTAGTGGAATAAGAGTTTGTAAACTTGTTAGTTCTAAGAAAAGAACCTACGTACGTGTAAGATGATAAGTAATTATTACTAATAGTAAGGCCCCCTCAGAACACAACATGTTTTAATGCTTTTACTCTGGTTTTCAAAGCAACTTTTGAAAAGTTAAAATTTTTAAAGAATTTACTCGGTTTTTCGAAGTCACCCTTTTTTAAAAAAGTCAAAATTTTAAGAAATATATCCTGTTTTATCAAACGTGAATATGGTTTCGGCCAAGAAAAGTTACCATTTAAAATCACTTAAAATTCGTCTTTTTTCCCTGTTTTTCTGTTGGGCCGCTTCAGCACAAAAATGAATACGATTTCGGCCAAAACAATTCACCTTTTAAAAACACTTGAATTTTAAAGCTTTTGAGAATACTTTGCTTTTTTAATCATTTTGTCCTGTTTTTCAAGGTAACTTGTTAATAAAGTTTAATTTTTGAGAAATTTACCGTTTTTCCAAACGTACCCTTTTAAAAAAGTCAACATTTCAAGGAAAATACCCCGCTTTTCCAAGCAAGAATACGGTTTTGTCCAAAATGAAGATAAAATTTATTTAAAAGAATTATGTGAGTTGGAAAATTTGGTGTATACCAAAACGGTATACACTCTAGAAAATGACCAAGTCTTTAAAGTCATTTAAAAAATATAGGAGCACATATACATATTTCAAGTATAAATTCCTTCAGTTAATGAAACTATGAAAATGTATGAAAATGTGTAGCATACAGCATACCTTAGGTGAATCACAGACGATTAATTAGTTTTATTATTTGATCGATAAGCCCACATTTAAAACCGAAAACTGTCAAGTCAAATTTATCAGATTTAACTAATGTATTCTAAATATCATCAAATTCATAATAAATTTTATCTTTAAAGAAATATAAATTTCTATATCTGAATGCTCTTCTTATATTTGGAGGTATTCCAGCAAATAATTCTGAAATAAGGCCATGTTTCTTTGATCTAAACAAACACTCATCAAACTCAATGTACAAGACTTTATCATAAAATATATATGTTTTTCCAGAATAAGTTCTAAATATTGCATCAATTCTTTTTCCTTTTGGTATTCCTAAATTTTCAATAGATCGAGCATTATATCTACTTTTAACATTAAAACTTGGAAAATCAATTAAATAATATAAATTTTTAACAACTATTAAAACATCACTTGAAGGTCTTTGATAAATATGTGAAATTTCTTGAAAATCATCTGGCAAAAAATATAAATAATCTGTAATTAATTTCGGTTCTTTGTCATAAGTCATGTCTTTTAAATTAACTAACCAAACATATTTCTTATAAAAAATATACATATGATGATTTGCAATTAAGAGTGTATCAATTTCTTTATTAAAATCACATAAATTGCCAAATATATCTTCGGCTCCGGCTTCACCTCTAGGTTGGCATTCAGGGACACTTTGTCTTACAGTAGGTTTAACTGTTGTTGTTGTTGGTATTAATTCATATTTTAATCGTTCAGGTCTTCCATATAAATATTGAATTGCCCACATATCGTCTTGAGTTAATTTATCAATATCACCTTTATAATAGGCGTACATAATTGAATTATTATTTGCGGAATGTTCAATACCTAATGTGTGTCCGATTTCATGTAATAATACTGTATAAAAATTAGTTTGGCCATCAGGTGTATTGCCTGATTTACCAAAATACCAATTTTCTGATTTATCAAAATGAATTCCTAGTCATTCATCATTATTTGGAAAGAAGCCATGTGCTAAAACATTACCTTTTCCATCAAAACTGCTGGAACATATTCCTTTTTGACACCGTGAATTATGATTATGTTGAAACAGCGTATTAGAAAATAAAATAAGTATGTCCGGTTTAACGCTATTGTAATTAAACTTTAAATTTGAAACAGATTCCCACTGATCAAAGGCTTTTTGTGCTAATTCTCTCATTTCGTTTGTAGCTAACGAAAAATACCATTTAAGATTTGTTTTAGATCATTTGTTAGTATAAACTCTATAAGCAGTAGGATTATCTTTAACGCCACATCTAGGTTTACAGATTAAAGCAAGTGTTTCTTGATTTAATGTTCCATCAGTTGGTAAATTATAGAATTCTTGAAACCTTATTAATGCTAGTAATATTCATTTCCAAGGGACTACCTGATAAAGATGAAATACTGGGAAATAGTAAAAAATACTGGCAGACCGAAGTAATACATCTCATTTATTACAATAAGAATCATTAATTACCGTTTAAGTGAACTTTTTCTATGTATTTCTCTCTAGGAAAATAATTAAAATTACTGACAAATTCCTGTTCACGTAAATTTATTTCTCTTTCATTTATTTTACCAGCTTTATATAAATGCAATAATTGTCTATAAAATTTATAAATCAACTTATATGCTTCAATTCTTTCTGATATTTTTAATCTCTTATCTAATATTTCTATAACCCCTGCACCAAGAGATAAACAAACTAGTGGAGGAAGGACTAACGAAGATAATCCCGATGCACTAAATAATAATTTACTAATACATAGATAATCCGATTCCAATTTTATAAAAATATATGTAACTTTTTCTGTATACATACAAGCGTTTTTGTAGATATTTTTCCATTTATAACATACAAATATTGAAATAGCATTTCATTGAATTTTTTTCTCATTGAAACTACACGGTATCTGTTTAAAAGAATATAATATATCATAAAAATCTTTGCCTCTGTTTACATTAATTATTACGTATATACAGTAATGGCCACATAAAACAGAAGAATTAATTTGCAATTGTGTGCTGTTCCACGCAATATTTTTTCCGCTACTTAATAAATATGTTTTAATTTTTTCTGGTGGAGAAATACCAAAACTGTCAAAATATAAAATATTTCTTAAATATGGTTTGTTTACATAACATACCCAGTGTTAGAGGATTGGAAATTAATTATGCCTGATTCATTTTTACTTCCCGAGCGTAAGCAAAGGAAGTATTGTAATCGAGTCCGTCGGCCGACTCTCTACTTTTACGTTTTCTCGATCTTTCATGACCCCTAGAAGACGAAGAAATAGGTCTCCCATTTCCGTCTGTCTGTCCGTCTGTCCGTCTGTCCGTCCGTCTGTCCGTCTGTCCGTCTGTCCGTCTGTTGTCCCGGATTTTTATTAGACAGATAATCTCCGAAAGTACTCGACCGATTGTTGTGAAATTTTGTACTTATATTAAGAATATCATGTAGATGGTAAAACGCTAACCAAAATTTGTCTAATCATCCCCACCACTAATGCGATGACGTCACTTCAAAATTGTACATAGTAAATGGGTTTTCAATTGTATAAAATAACATAGTCCTACACATGTAGTTTACAACTCTGAATCGACTTTTCACCCGAAACGTCCAGATTTTTGGAAAAAAAATCAAAATTATAAAACAACATTTTGAAATTTATTTTTAATCTGCTAACCAGAATGCTTTGAAATGTTGCAGATGTTTTAAGGCTATAAAGAGCATCATAAATCTTTAGTCAAAAAATATTTGCTTATCCCCTCCAAAAACTTGATGACGTCAGCTCAAAAGTTTGTGGAATAAATCATATCTAAAATGTACAAAATATGATGAGTCTGTACTTGTGATCTATCACTCCATTCATATTTTTTGGATTTGCATATACAGGGTGACTCAAAAAAATTAATGAATGCGTAAATATATTTTATTGATTTAATCAGGAACTACAAAACCGAATGCTCTGAAATCTTGCAGATGTTTTAAGGTCATAAAGAGCATAATAAATGTTTAGTCAAAATATATTTGCTTATCCCCTCCAAAAACTTGATGACGTCAGCTCGAAAGTTTGCCGAATAAATCATATCTAAAATGTACAAAATATGATGAGTCTGTACTTGTCATTTATCACTCCATTCATATTTTTTGGTTTGCATATACAGAGTGACTCAAAAAAATTAATGAATGCGTAAATATATTTTATTGATTTAATCAGGAACTACAAAACGGAATGCTCTGACATCTTGCAGATATTTTAAGGTTATAAAGAGCATAATAAATGTTGAGTCAAAATATATTTGCTTATCCCCTCCAAAAACTTGATGACGTCAGCTCGAAAATTTGCCGAATAAATCATATCTAAAATGTACAAAATATGATCAGTCTGTACTTGTGATCTATCACTCCATTCATATTTTTTGGATTTGCATATACAGGGTGATTCAAGAAAATAAATTAAAGCGTAAATTTATTTTACTGATTTACTCAGGAACTACAAAACCGAATGCTTCGAAATCTTGAAGATATTTTAAAATTATCATAAGCATGGTAAATTTTTGATCAAAATGTATTTGGTCGTCCCCCCTAAAAAATTTATGACGTCACCACAAAATTTTGCTGAATAAATCCTATCTAAAATGTACAAAATATGGTGAGTCTCTTCTTGTGATTTATTATTCCATTCAAATTTTTTCGATTTGCATATACAGGGTGACTCAAAAAAATTAATGAATGCGTAAATTTATTTTATTGATTTAATCTGGAACTACAAAACCGAATGCTTTGAAATCTTGCAGATGTTTTAAGGTTATAAAGAGCATAATAAATTTTTAGTCAAAATATATTTGGTTATCTTCTACAAAAAACTGATGACGTTAGCTTAAAAGTTTGCCGAATAAATCGTATCTAAAATGTACAAAATATGATGAGTCTGTACTTGTGATTTATCATTCCATTCATATTTTTGGATTTGCATATGCAGGGTGACTCAAAAAAATTAATGAAGGCGTGAATTTATTTTATCGATTTAATTAGGAATTACAAAACCGAATGCTTTGAAATCTTGGGAATATTTTAAAGTTATTATAAGCATGGTAAACTTTTGTTCAAAATGTATTTGTTCATCCCTCCTAAAAAATTGATGACGTCACCCTTAAATTTTGCTGAATAAATCCTATCTAAAATGCAAAAAATATGATGAGTTTGTACTTATGATTTATCATTCCATTCATATTTTTTAGATTTTCTTAAGAGGTGGTTCAAAAAAATTAATGAAGTCAATTTATTTTATTGATTAAATTAAAGGCAACACTTATTATTAGTATTACACCTCAACCAACCCAATTTGGTAGACACAAAATTTGTTAAAGGAAAAACTCGGTTGAAACATAAGGGTAGCACGCTTATTTACATCGACTTTAACATTACAGACCTGCATTTGTTTTATGCGATCACTTGGTTCCGCGAATGTGAAATAGACATGTTTATAATCAACCAATTGTGAATTTCACCGTCAAGAATTAAAATAAAACCCAATGTTTTATATAATAAGCGGAAGTCGAAGCAATAAAACCGATGGTCGTTTTGTTTACAGTTTCTCTGTTTGACTCACACGTATGCTGTTACGCTTGTCATCTTAAATTAAGATTGTTTATACATAAACGATTTTCAGTTGCCGTATACGTGAGTAAATTGTTTCGTTATTTTATTGATTATAAAAAATCAATATTTAAAACGACCCAATTCATTTTCCCGAAAATTTGGGAATACAATAATTTTATTCTTAGTATTACACTACATCTATCCCAACTGATATACGTGTCCTTGCAAAAATGTTGACGTCATCGCAATTTTTTTTAAATTCCCACTACAAAAATGTAATGAGAAAAAAACACAATAGCCATGCAGTCGTCAAGTTTCCGACAGCGAGGAAAGTACTGTCTAAACTCTTTAGACCAATTTTTCTAATTTTTTTTGGTAACATGTCAATTGCAAAAACACCTCGAAAATTTCGCGTAGCTTCATGATTTTTCTCATTTTTCATAATATCAGATATTTCTATATTACTTAACCCCCTTTTCCTATCAATTTTATTCCTTGTCCATATGTCTCCGACTTGTTCGGCTTCTTCGTTTTTTTTTTATTCTTTTTTAAACCATCTCCGAAGGCTTTTTGTGCTAATTTAGTACCTGCATATCCGGCTGCACCTAATCCCAATGCTTTGGCTACAGCTATTGCTGCAGGAATTAAAGCAGGCAAAAATCCACCTATCTGTGTTGGAGAAAATTTGATATCACAGTATTTCTTCTTGTCTTTTTTACATTTTTTAATTTCATCAATCTGTTTTTCTCTTAATTTAATAGTTTTATTAGCTCTTTCTCTTAAATCAAATCTTATATTACAATCTATTCTTTTATCTTTGCAACTTTGGAGTTTCTTTATGGTGATAAATATACTTTATAATCAGTCATTTATTTAATTAAAAACTAAGCGAACCGTGCAGAGCACCAGTCAAAGACGCTTCGTGAGGCAGGGGCGAACTCTCTACATCATTTCCAAGTCAATCTTTTCATCTATGATATTCATATTTGCAATTCTTTGAGATTCAACGACAGCATATATGTAGTAATTAATATTTTGATAATCTTTTAATGTCCAATTAACTTTAATCCGGGTAAATTAATAGGATTTTCAGAATAACTTATTTCAAAATCATTTTCTTTAGATCTGATGTGTATTAGGCTCATTTCTTCAGTTTAAAAAAGCATGCCAAGTGTCGTGAATATCTTTTTGTGTCCTGACTTTTTTATAAGTTTCATTTTAAACAATTTATCAAGTATTTCTACGCATTCATTATATACATCAGTTGAATCATTTCCAGCATTTTTTGACGCAATTAATAGATCAAGACGTTCTACCATTTCATTCGGATCTGAAAAAATACCGCTTCCTGTTTGCTGTCTTTCATAGAAAGGAATTTTTCGAATATCTTCTAAAGCACGTTTATATTTTTTCAACTGTGAATACACATATTGTAAACTATCAATTTTGTCTTGTTCTTGTGATTTCTTTGCGTTTGTAATGTGTGCATTTAATGATTTTAATTTAGTTGATATTTCGGGTATCGTTGTATCAATTTTTGCATTTCGATTTCTAATGTCTAACGTACGGAAGCGTAGAATGGTCAGGTGGAATTTTTTTTGGAAAAAACTCGACATGTCGAGATTAAACTCAACATGTTGAGAAAAAACTCAACATATTGAGAAAAAACTCTACATGTCGAGATTAAACTCGACATGTTGAGAAAAAACACGACATGTCGAGAAAAAACTCGACATGTCGAGAAAAAACTCGACATGTCGAGATTAAACTCGACATGTCGAGATTAAACTCGACCTGTTGAGAAAAAACACGACATGTCGAAAAACAAACTCGACATGTCGAGATTAAACTCGACATGTTGAGAAAAAACACGACATGTCGAGAAAAAACTCGACATGTCGAGATTAAACTCGACATGTTGAGAAAAAACTCGACATGTCGAATTTAATCTCGACAGACGGACAAACAGACAGACAGACGGAAACGGAAGACCTATTTCTTCGTCCTGTTGGGGTGATGAAAGGTCGAGAAAACGTAAAAGTAGAAAGTCGGTCGACGGACTCGATTACAATACTTTTTTCGCTTACGCTCGGGAAGTAAAAATCTATCAAAACGATTTATGTTTCTGTTGTCCTTTCCTATACAAACAACAATTTTGAAATTGGTGTCTGAAATTATTACGTTTCGTAAATTTAGTGGATAAAAACATACTAAGTAATTTCTATCTTAAACCAGCTTCATGATAATTAGGACAATGTAGGAATTCCTTCGTTCCTGAAGTACAATGAAACATATCCAGCATTTTCGAAAAATTATAAAATTTGATTTTGCGGATTTTATACTTTTGGAGGACCCCTATAAGTTGAAATAGTTAAACGTGAATATATAATGCTAAAGTAAATGTAAAGAAGTATGCTACGCGTATGTTTCAAATATGTTTTTACTTTACAAAATTTTAGAATTATAGAACCCACGTACTGGGGCGGCGTATGGGTTTCCTTCGTAACATTATGATTATCGGTTACGGTGACAAAAGACGAAGTTTTGTAGTAACACTTTTCAATGAAATTCATCCTAAGCCAGAAGTGGAAACTGGAAAATGTTTTGGAAAAAATGGTGTGAGCCGTTTTGGTTTAATCAGTAAAATAAATTAATATATTCATTCAAATGTAAAAAATGTTATTGCAAAAGTATAGACTCATCATGATTTGCACAATTTAGATAGTATTTTTTCGGCAAAATTATGACATGAGACATCATCAATTTTCTGGGGGGGATAAAGAGATTTGATTAAAAATTTACCACGCCTGCAATAACTTCAAAACGTCTCTCAAGGCATTCGGTTTTGCAGTTCTTGATTTAATTAATAAAATAAATTGAATCATTAATTGTTTTGCATCACCCTGTATAAGCAAATCGAAAAAATATGAATTCAAAGAGCAAAATAAGAGTGAGAAACGATACTGCAGACAAAACGTTGGTGGCAGCTCTTTGTACAGGTGGCTGCCTGGTTGCAAGATATAGGTACACGTAAATTAGAGGAAGCAAGTGACCAATTTTGCATTTTTCACAATCTCGAGATCATTTGTGTCAACAAACGATCAGTCAAAGACGAAATCGTATTTTTGTAATAACCAAATTAAAAACAAATAAATTTTATTTTATTTTATTACATGTTTATACATCGGAAGAATGTCATGTAAACATTTGTTTGATTTGAATGAGTTTATCGCCTCAAAACCGATGACTAAAATTATTCATAAGCCTCAATTGAAAAAAAATATTCTGGATGTTTATTATAATTCTTACCTTATCATTATTTTATTGTTATAAAGACGAGCATATTCTCACATTTTCGAGAAAATGTTCTTAAACTGATCAATAATAAATTGACTGATTCATTAATTTTTTTGAGCCACCCTGTATAAGCAAATTTAAAGAATATGAATGCAATGATAAGTTACAAGTACAGTCTGATCATATTTTGCACGTTTTCGAAAGAATTTATATGGCAAAATTTTGAGATGACGTAATTAATTTTTTTCACTAGCAGCCATGACGCATGCAAATGTCGACTCATTTAGTGGTAGCAAATTCAACTTTTGCGACCACCGGTTCAAAAAGAAAAATTGAGGTTATGTACGCAATGTTTGATGTGATTATTTCTTAAAAAATGAACAAATGTGTGCTACAAACATTACTTGAGTATACGCATGGTAGTTGGTAGACGGTAGAAGATAAAATGATTAACTCAGCGACAAGTATAAACGGTTTTCTTTGTGTTGAAGATTTAGATTAAGTTTGATTAGAAATCAAAACAAAATCATGTTGCGTCAAAAAATTGAACGTTTATTTTTTCAGTTTATTGTCTTATGGTTTCTGCTAGTGAAAAAAATAGTATATTAACCACGTTTGCAAAGCCACTTCTAGACCTCGCGCTTCAGAACCCTCGACGCTGCGCGTCTCGGGTTCTAATTTGCGCTCGGTCTAGAATGCTTGGCTCTGCAACCTTGGCTAATAATATACTATTTTGGGGTTGATAAACAGATACATTTTGATTAAAAATTTATCATGCTTACAATAACTTCGAAACGTCAAGATTTCAAAGTACATATTCAGTTTTGTAATTCTTGATTTAATCAATAAAATTAATTGATTCAGTCATTAATTTTTTCAAATACCATATATAAGCAAATCTAAAAAATATTAATGCAGTGATAAATCACAAGTATAGACTCATCAGTCATCACACTTTGTACGTTTTAGATAGGATTTATTCAGCAAAATTTTAGGGTGACATCAATTTTTTAGGGGGGGATGGGCAAATATATTTTGATCAAAAATTTACCATGCCTATGATAACCTTGAAACATCTCCAAGATTTTTTTGTAGTTCCTGATTAAATCAATAAAATAAATTCAGGCATTCATTAATTTTTTTGAGTCGCCCTGTATTTGCAAATCCAAAAAATATCAATGGGATGATAAATCGCAAGTACAGACTCAACATATTTTGTACATTTTAGATAGGATTTATTCGGCAAATTTTTGAGCTGACGTCATCAATTTTTTGGAGGAGAAAAGTAAATATATTTTAATCAAAAATTTATGATTCTTATCATAACTGTAAACAATCTGCAAAATTTCAAAGCACTCAGTTTTGCAGATTCAAAATTAAATTGCAATATCATGTTTCATAATTTTGATTTTTTTTCAAAAAATCTGGACGTTTCGGGCAAAAACTCAATTCGGAGTCATAAACTACATGTGTAGGACTATGTTATTTTTTACAATTTAGAACCCATTTACTATTTACAATTTTTGAAGTGACGTCATCACATTATTGGTGGGGATGATTAGATAAATTTTGGTTAGCGTTTTACCATCTATGATATTCCTAATATAAGTACAAAGTTTCACAATCGGTCCAGTACTTTCGGATATTATCTGTGTAATAAAAATACGGGACGGCAGACAGACGGACGGACAGATAGACAGACGGAAGCGGGAGACCTATTTCTTCGTACTGTAGTGGTTGTTGAAGGTCGAGAAAACGTAAAAGTAGAGAGTCGGTCGATGGACTCGATTACAATACTTCCTTCACTTACGCTCGGGAAGTAAAAAGTCGACATGTCGAGATTAAACTCGACATGTCGAGTTTTTTCTCGACATGTCGTGTTTTTTCTCAATATGTCGAGTTTAATCTCGACATGTCGAGTTTTGTCTTGACATGTCAAGTTTTTTCTCGACATGTCGAGTTTAATCTCGACATGTCGAGTTTTTTCTCAACATGTTGAGTTTAATCTCGACATGTCGAGTTTTTTCCAAAAAAAAATTCCACCTGACCATTCTACGCTTCCGTACTAACGATAATAAATGTGAAGGTTTTTCAAATTTAAATTGTTTTTCAATAATATCAAAATTTAAATCTTTATTCGGATCTAAACTTATTGAGGAAGCGGGTGAAGGTGATTTCGGTAATGACAATAATTGATCTGATTCCCTTACATCATCGCTTTCGGTTTGTCCACTTTGTGGACGTTGGCCCTGCCAGTCTTTGGCCTGCGGACCCGATACATTTTCCTCGATTGCTAAAATATTTTTTGGATCCGCTTCGCTCATAAGAATTTGTTGCGTAAATTCAGTAATATTATCAAGTTTGTCAGTTATGGGCTTCTGTAGTTTTTTAATTTCTTCCTTTGTTAAATGTTCTTTAAATTGATTTAAATGGATCCTATTACAATTGCTAGATACAATTGCAGTTGTTGATAATCTAAAAAAAGATCAATATTCTCAACAATCAATTTCTTGGTTGAATAGTTTTCATAATCCAAATATAAAACATACATTAAACGATGGTGAAGTGAGAATATGTGGATCAAAAGTTGATGGCTTTGATGAAAAAACTAATACAGTCTATCAATATCACGGTTGTTTTTGGCATGGTTGTACAAAATGTTATAGTTCAAATTTTATTAATAATAAGAATAAAACAACTATGGAAGATCTTTATGAACAAACAATAGAAAGAAGCGAGCAAATAAAAAAAGCTGGCTATAATTTAATAGAAATGTGGGAATGCAAATGGATTAAATCTAAAGAATATAAAGAAGAAATGAAACAAATTAAAAGCAAATATAAAGAAATTGAAGAACTTAATCCTAGAAATGCGTTCTTCGGAGGAAGAACTAATGCTACAAAACTGAAAGTTAAGGGAAAGAAAATGAAATATATAGATATTTGTAGTTTATATCCAACAGTACAATGTTATGATGATTATCCAGTTGGATATCCTACTAAAATATTCAAACCTCCTACGTATAATTCAAAATGGTATGGTTTAATAAAATGTGCAATTTTACCACCAAGAGGTTTGTATCACCCTGTTTTACCTGTTAAAATAAAAGGAAATCTGGCGATGAAAAACTAACATTTCCATTATGTCAATTGTGTGCAAAATTAAATAATTCGTGGACCACGTCCACTCATGAGGGCCGAAGGCCGAATCAAAAAGATAAATGTACTCATACGGAATCTCAAAGTGTCAGAGGAACCTGGTGTACAAACGAAGTAAAAAAAATCGAGTTATTTGTTTAAAGGATATGTAAAAGCATTTATGAAAATAAAGTTAGAGACAAGTGAATGGAGAAATGATTTTGAATCAGAAGAAGAATATAGAAAAGCCGTAAAAGAAAATCTAGGTAGGTATTGAATTGGGTAAAATAGAAAATAATCCTTAAAAGAGAGCTGTTGCAAAAATCTGCTTAAATTTCTTATGGGGTAAATTTGGTCAAAGACAAAATATGGGCGCAACAGAGTATGTTACGGATATTAAGAGATTTTATGAGATTTTATTAGACGACAGACTTGATAATATACATATCAATGAATTAAACGAAAATATGTTACAAATTGATTACAAGTCTAAAGGTTGCTATCTAGAAAATGATTTCAATACTAACATATTCATAGCTGCTTTTACAACTGCAAATGCTAGACTAAGATTGTACGAAATGTTAGACATATTAGGAGAAAGCGTGGCATATTATGATACAGATAGCATTGTATATATAGATAATGGTAAAAACACTGTAAAAACAGGTTGTCTATTGGGAGATTGGACCGATGAATTAGGTAAGGACGTATGGATTGCTGAGTGGGTATCAACAGGTCCAAAAAGTTATTGTTATAAAACTAATACAGGTAAAGTTGTTTGCAAAATTAAAGGATTTACATTAAACTATGAAACATCCGAAAAGATTAATTCCGATAGCATGAATAATATTTTAGAACACAAAGACAGTAAAATTAGTACACAATATAATCGAATTACCAGAGATAGTAAAACTACAGAACTTTTAAATAAAATAGAAACAAAAGAATTTGGTTTTGTTTATGACAAGAGAGTTATTCTAGAAAACTTTGATACAATACCGTTTGGATATTAATCCTTTTATAGTAAATTAACTTCTTATAGGTTTGAACCACATTCAACACAAAAAATTTAATGTTGAAGAAGTATGAAGAATAAGTATTGTATACAAATTGAAAATTTAATATACAAACAGTAACTGAAGACTTGTAAAGGTGTAATAGCACATTTAGCTCAATTTTTAAAAAGCGCGGGCGAAATAGCACATAACGCAGACAGAGAACATACCGGCATCTGTCTGTATTCTCTTAGGGGAGTCGTTATGAGGTTCATGGGTCCCCATTGCAAGAGCAGTCGACAAGAGCATCATCGCCGCCATTATAGTTTCGAGTTTCGAACATTGTCTGTCTTGGTTTTTGAGTTTTGTTTTTTTGTGTTGTGAGAATCAAAAAGTTGTTGGAACAGAGTTTTAACATTGCAGTTAGCGTTCTACATACGAGTAAATATAGTGAGTAAACAGGCGTGCGCCTGTTCATTGTATCCAAACATCATTCAAATCGATTCAAATTTTTTACACTTTTTTGTCAGACAAAAAATGGAAGATAAGACGTATGGAGTAAAAACCCACTTAGTTGAGGAATTTAAACAGTTTCAAATCAGTCGTCAAAAAAGAACAATGCCATCCTTTTTGGGTAACTGCACTCTGCATATAAATTCGAATTATATGAGATCTCGGGTTCAAGCGTCAAATGGGATAATATCGCTAACACCCTTTCCATTATTTCCTATGGGTCTACTCGGATTTCAAATTCCACCACAACAATTGAGTTTTATCCATCCCCTGATGGTAGTAATTGTGCTACATCCATCTTTAAAAGTCACGTTAATATTTGATTCAGAAAATGAAAAGATGGAATTTATCACCATATTAAATTTGTAAGTTAAAAGAAGACGATGGTCTATTAATTCTACTTATTGGTTGTTTTTGTTCTTCCAGACCGGAAAATAGTTCGAGTTCTGATGAAAGCGGAAGCTCCAGCTCAAATCCTACCATCGATTCAGGTTTCGCGGGAGAAGTTCAGATAAACTAAAATATTATTATTATTATTATTATTATTATTATTATTGATGTCATAGAGCAGAGGCAAGAGCCTATTATGCTCGACTCGAGGAACCCTATACTGGGAGCTGAAATTCACTACCATCTCTATTAAGGGGGTGCTCGAACGACGGCTGGAACATCAATATATTTATATATACTTTTTTTTTTTTTTTAAAGATCAGTCAGGTGGTTATAAAGTTTATTTTTAAAGGAGGCAGTGCTACTTGGCTCGATGAGATCTGAATCCAAACTGTTCCATACGTTGAAAACTCTGTTCGATAAGAAATTTTGAGGCCACCTGGTCTTGTATTTTTCGTGATGCAACTTCATTGAGTGGCCGCGAAGATGAGAGGCAGCAGATAATTCAAAAATATTTGAAAGATCAACACCAAATTGGTGCGTAAGAATGTTGTAGGTGCACACAAGATCATTAATGATACGACGCTTTTCCAAAGAAGGAAGTTTAAGTAAAGAAAGTCTAGCATCGTAAGGTTTATCCTTTAAAGTTTGTACAGTTTTTAAATAACGACGTTGCACTTTTTCTAGTAATTGTTTGTTTCCAATTAAGCTCGGTGACCAGATTACACTTGCATACTCTAAAATGGGACGTATGTAGGAGACAAGTAAAGTTTTGGATAATTCTTCCGTTGGACTTACAAATGCTTTTTGTATTAGATACTTGACTGTATTGGCTTTTTTAACTACAAGGTTGACATGTTCGGAGAAGGATAAATTGTTGTCTAATAGTACGCCTAGGTCCTTGATCTCATTAACGGGTTATAAGACATGGTTATCAAGAGTGTACGGTATGTTTGGGTTATCTTTGCCCAGACGGAAAACGACACATTCTTTGTTGTTCAAGGGCATTAACCAAGTGGACGTCCAGTTCTGTTCTGTAAGCAAATCGCTTTGAATTATTTGGGAGGATGTTAATGGGTTGTTAAACAGTCTGCCGTCATCAGCGTAAAAAGCATGAGGTGATTTTAACAAAGACAGAAGGTCGGATATGTACACAAGAAACAGTATCGGGCCCAACACCGATCCTTGAGAGACACATGAAAGCACTTCCCGGTTGGATGAATAACAAGAACGCACTCTTACTCTAAAGCTACGTCCTCTCAGAAAAGCTTCAATCCACTGGAGTAAGAGACCTCTGATTCCGACATTATCTAACTTTCGTAACAGCCGACGGTGAGGAACGCGATCAAAAGCCTTTTCAAAGTCTAAGTAAATAATATCGCCCGGTTTATTTTGATCCAAAGATATCGTCCACGTGTTAAGGCACTGAAGCAAGCAAGTAACGGTAGATCTTCCTGGTAGGAACCCATGTTGGTTAGCAGAAAGTATGCTTTGATCGTTTAAAAACCGAAACATTTGATTCCATATGATTCTATCCATAACTTTGCTGCATATGGAAGTAAGGCTGATAGGTCTATAATTTTCTGCTTTCGTTTTGTCGCCTTTCTTATATATGGGTGTGATTAGTGCTTGGAGCCATATAGGGGGAAGAACTGAGTTCTGAAACGAAAGAGTCATAATGTGGGATAAAGGACCAGCAATCCAACTAGCACATTTTTTGAGTATAAGAGGAGATAAATCATCAGGTCCTGGTGAACTTTTTTCAGAAATTTTGTAAAATCAATATTAGAAAGAAACAGTTCTTTTTGGGGTGATAAACAAGGAGGTAGATTGGTATGAGGTTCAGAGGTGAACACACTTTGGAAGAAGTCAGCCAAGAGATTGGCCGATTGATGTTCATTAGCCGCAAGTGTGTTGTCGTTTTTGCACATAATTGGAACTGAGACTTTGGATAACATCTTTCCACGAACAAATTTGTATACCGCTTTAGGACCTCTTTTTGTAACGTTTAGTTCATACCTATATTTTGCAGACCGTATATCACTTTTTAACTTATTAGAAAAACCTCGATGTTGATCGTAGTCATATTGAGAGCCAGAAACCTTAAATTTGTTCCACAACATTTTTTTTATTTTAGCTTGTTTTAGAAAATGAGAAGAGATCCAGGGCTTGGTACGGATATACTTAATATGGAAAGTAGTAGTGTTTTGAGAGGTGAGATCAGATAAGATATTAGTAAAAATATCCCAGGCTTCGATGGAGTTGGAAGTGTGGTAAAGAGAATCCCAGTTTATTTTGGCCAAGTCAGAATCTAGACCATCAAAGTCGATCCTGGTGTATTCTCGTTGTTCGTATCTTTCTGTTGGTGGAATGTGATACTGTAAGAAAGTTTCAATGACGCAGAGGTCAGAAATACCAATTGGAGGCTGTTGACTGATTTCGCATAAAAGATTGGGATCGTTCGTAAGAATTAAGTCTATTAAGGAAAGAGTTTGGCCAAAACGGAAGCGATTAGGGAATGATACCAGTTGCATTAGGTTAGTTTCCAAAAGAAGGTCAGCAAATAAGATGGCGGAATTGTCGTTGTCGAGCAGCTGTAGGTGCGGCCAGGAGATCTTGGGAAAATTAAAATCACCGAATATTAACAGGTTAGAGTAATGGCTGCAAAACGCTTTAATGTCCTCGAAGAGAAGTTGATCTTCGACTACAGAGGCTCCAGGTGGTCGGTAGATACATACCAATGAAAAGCTTTGGCAGCTGGATACACAGGTGACGCGTATCAGTTCTATTTTTCCGTAGTTTTTACTGCAATTGGTAACTGAAAACTGTTTGAAAAGTGTTCTATTTAACAAGATACAGACTTCTCCTCCACGTAAGGAACGATCCGTACGATAGAGAATGTAGTCGTTTAAACCAATCAAAGAGTCTGGGACAACGGGAGACATCCATGTTTCAGTTAGCAGAATACAGGCAGGATTTTTTTCTTGTATATATAGGGTAAGAGGGTCAAGTTTGGCTAATAAAGATGCAATGTTCGTGTACATCACCGAATATTACGCGATTTTGTTTCGATCGTGATACGATGTTTCGACATGGCCAGAAGACCTGCGTACTGGTTGCTATGTTGAAAAAATATCAGCTTTAAGTTTCTCAAGAGCTGACTTGTAAACGGGACAAGAATTATCCCAGACCGCGTGATTTGTGTCAAATTGTTTGCCTTCTTTGATAGACATTCGAATGGAATTTATACATTTCAGGTTTTCGGCTACGCAGGCACTTAATTCATGCTCAGAACTGCATTTTGGACAGGAAAGTTTCTCCTTGCACACGCGGGACGAATGGCCGAAATTGTTGCAATTGAAACAGCGGTTAGCATCTAGCCCGTCAAAAACTATACAGTAATCGTACCCGATAAAGAGTCCATGAATGTGTCTTTTATCTGACGTTCGGCGTTCTTAATCAAATCAGTCTTTAAGTCGGAGAAAACTTCTTTCAGATTGCTAACCATTTCCTCGAATTTTTTCCCGAGAAAAGCGTTCAGAGAATCCGAATGAAAACTAACACATTTTTTTAAACAACATTTCCAGTTGAGACCTGGAACAGATTCCAGCTGCTCTTGCAGGCTTTCCGGTACATCTACACATTTAAAGTGAAAACGCTTTTCACATGTACCTGAGCAAGATAAATAGCCTGAAGATGGACGGGTTTTGATAGCGCTATGACATTTACCGCAAAGAGGTAACATGGTCGATTTGAAAGAGTTGTCGAAATGTTGGAAATTAAGAAAACGTATATACTTTTTTTTTGGCAAGCGATTGAGGGTCAGCGGGCCGCCTACAAAAACGAAGGCCGACCGCTGGCCGAACGAACACCAAAAAACAACTGCGGCTTAGTAGATAACGACAACACCGAAAGGAGATACACGATAAGTTGGTAATTAAATGGAAAGATCTCACCAGATTGGGATGAGGTGTGGATCACCGAATATTATAAACCAGGTAAAGTGATAACTCTCCCTGAATATGCACTTTTGTTAAGTATAAATTCAAGATAAACTTCGAAAAACACTCTGAAACTCGGAGCACGACGTGAACACCGCACCGTGAGCTCGAATCACTTTGAATGTATATAATAAAATTTAATAAAGAATATTTTCCGAATTTTTAGTGTTTTCAAAGGCGAATTCGCTTCGCTCATGAGGACCTTGTCCGAATTTGTTTGGCCGAAACCGTATTCATTTTTGTGCTGAAGTGACCCAACAGAAAAACAGGGAAAAAAACGAATTTTAAGTGATTTTTAAATGGTAACTTTTCTTGGCCGAAACCATATTCACGTTTGATAAAACAGGATATATTTCTTAAAATTTTGACTTTTTTAAAAAAGGGTGACTTCGAAAAACCGAGTAAATTCTTTAAAAATTTTAACTTTTCAAAAGTTACTTTGAAAACCAGAGTAAAAGCATTAAAACATGTTGTGTTCTGAGGGGGCCTTACTAGTAGTATTATTCCACGTGTTTTGCACAAAATTTTAACTATACCTGTTTAACATTTAAATAAAACAAATAAAGAGTTTTATTGCATTCTTGACTTTTCCTTTGACAGACATCCAGATTTCCGGTAAGTTATAATTTTTTTATACCAGTTATACAACACCGTGGCAAGCTTCAGCTTTATTAAAGAATGTTCATCAATTTTTGCTTCCTTAGCGTAAGCTAATAAAATATTGTAACAGGGTCCTCTTCGCTAATGGCTGTTTTCATGTTTTCTCGGAGTTATTATGACCCTTAGAGCATGAGAAAATACGTCTTCCGTTAACTAAAAGTACAAACTATTATGTTGTACTTTTGGTATTCGCGTTTTTTGGAATCGCTTATACAGGGTAACTCAAAAAATAAACAAATGAGACGATCTATTTGACTGATCAAATTAAGAATGGCTCACCTCACTTTCCAGAAATTTTGGGAATACCTACTGTGTTCTTATCATTATCACTAATGTTTTACACTGCACCTAGTCAAACCGAAATAATTATCTATCGTTGCCGAAGTATTGATGACGTCACCACAAAATTTTGTAATGGAACGATGAACTTGAAACATAAAACACACATTGTATGCTTTTTTACCTTTACTTAAACATAATTTTTCACACGTATCTCTATTTTAATTTGTAAGAGTTGTCAAAAAAATAAAACTGGCAAAATCATATTTTATGATTTTTCGAAAAAATTTCAGGAGCCAGGGAAGCTCTGCCTAAATAACTCGGTATCAATTTTTTGTCCGTTTTATCCTATGTTGCTTATAAATATCCTACAGATTTAGTGGAATTTATGAATTTTGATTTCGAAATCAAGTCAACTAAAGAAGTGTTAAATTAAAAAACATTTACTTGAAAACTCAAGACAGCATTCAACTTTTTTCATAAAAAAAAATGTAATAGTAATATCCCAAGTGCATGTCAAATTGTCGACAATTTTAGTTTTCTCGAGTGTTCGAACTCGCACTAGAGAAAATTAGGATACAATTTTACTTGCAAGAGCGGATATTTTGCAGGCTATTTTCTGAAAAAAAAAAATGGTCTAAAGAGTTTAGACAGTATTTCCCTCGCTGTCGGAAACGTGACGACTGCATGCCTATTATGTTTTTTTCGCAGTAGATTTCAAAGCATTCGGTTTTGTAGTTCCTGAGTAAACCAATAAAATAAATTTACGCATTCATTTTTTTTTTGAGTCACCCCGTATATGCAAATTCAAAAAATATGAATAGAATGATAAATTACAAGTACCGACTCATCATATTTTGTATATTCTAGATAGGATTTATTCGGCAAACTTTTGAACTGACGTCATCAGTTTTTTGGAGAAGATAACCAAATATATTTTGACTAAAAATGTATTATGCTCTTTATAACCTTAAAACATCTGCAAGATTTCAAAACATTTGGTTTTGTAGTTCCTGACTAAATCAATAAAATACATTAACGCATTAATTAATTTTTTTGGACCACCCTGTATATGCAAATCAAAAAAAATATGAATGGAATAATAAATCACAAGAAGAGATTCATCATATTTTGTACATTTTAGATAGGATTTATTCAGCAAAATATTGTGGTGACGTCATAAATTTTTTATGGGGGATGAGCAAATACATTTTGATCAAAAATTTACCATGCTTATGATAATTTTAAAACATCTTCAAGATTTCAAAGTATTCGGTTTTGTAGTTCCTGAGTAAATCAGTAAAATAAATTTACGCATTCATTAATTTTTTTGAGCCACCCTGTATATGCAAATCCAAAAAATATGGATGGAGTGATAAATCACAAGTACAGACTCATCATATTTTGTACAGTTTAGATAGGATTTATTCGACAAACTTTCGAACTGACGTCATAACTTTTTTGGATGGGAGAAGCAAATATATTTTGACCAAATATTTATTATGCTCTTTATTACCTTAAAACATTTGCAAGATTTCAAAGCATTTGATTTTTTGTAGTTCCTGAGTAAATCAGTAAAATAAATTTACGCATTCATTAATTTTTTTGAGTCACCCTGTATCTGCAAATCCAAAAGATATGAATGGAGTGATATATCCCAAGTACAGACTCATCATATATTGTACATTTTAGATAGGATTTATTCGGCAAACTTTTGAGCTGACGTCATCAAGTTTTTGGAGGGGATAACCAAATATATTTTGACTAAAGATTCATGATGCTCTTTATAGCCTTAAAACATCTGCAACATTAGAAAACACTCGGGTTAGTAGATTCAAAATTAATTTGCAAAATGTTGTTTTATAATTTTGATTTTTTTTTCCAAAAATCTGGACGTTTCGGGTAAAAACTCAATTCTGAGTCGTAAACTACATGTGTAGGACTATGTTATTTTATACAATTTAAAACCCATTTACTATGAACAATTTTGAAGTGACGTCATCGCATTAGTGGTGGGGATGATTAGACAAATTTTGGTTAGCGTTTTACCATCTACATGATATTCCTAATATAACTATAAAATTTCACAACAATCGGTCCAGTACTTTCCGAGATTATCTGTCTAATAAAAATCCGGAACGGCAGACAGACGGACAGACGGACAGATGGACAGACAGATGGAAATGGAAGACCTACTTCTTCGTCTTCTAGGGGTCATGGAAGATCGAGAAAACGTAAAAGTAGCGAGTCGACCGACGGACACAATAGGTATGCAGTCGTCAAGTTTCCGACAGCGAGGGAAGTATTGTCTAAACTCTTTAGACCAATTTTTTTGTGATGGGTCAGTTGCGCGCTGCGGTCGAAAAAATTGCAGGGGGTCCTAATATCACAGGACAGTTGTACGCAAACTACCTGAGGAGCAATTTCTACTTGACTCACTCCAAAATAAAAACGTTTAATATTTTTTATTTAAATTGTTATGTTATTTAAATTTAACACAAATAGTTATCATAAAATTATTAGGCGGTACTTTAAGCAGGGTACCAAAGGGGTCACTGGCTAAACGACAAATATATCATATCTTACCAGTACAAGCTGGGTCACGGTCGAAGCATGTCACGACAAGTCTCAGCCTATGAATAGTAATAATTGTATATTACATATACATATGTAATACATCTACAAATAAATACATATGTGTACTTATTTAGTATCAAACGCCGTAGTTTAATGAAGAATAATAGAATTTACTAGCAGCTGACAACACCAACTTAAAAGTCATATTCACAAGGTTTTATAAAAACAGCATGTTGTTGTAGTTATGTTTTTTAATGATGTTTCAAAGCAGCCTCGGCAAAAATACTTCCCTTGATCTGAATATGTTCAAATCAAGAACAACATTTCAAAAGAAAAATTGAGCAGGCTATTACTTGGAATTTCTGAATGTCAAAAGATGATAACCGTAAGATCTAGTTGGTTTTTTGAAAATAAATTAATACACTCTACAGGTTTAAATTCGTTTTGTCCTGAATTAGTAACAGTGAAAACATTCTCATTTGTAGTTTTGTGACTTAAATAATTCCGTTATAAAGGTTTGTTTATTTAATTTGATAACTGACTAATTAAAAATCGATCACCCGTTACTTAAAATTTCATGGTATTGTGTTCGACGCTGTTGCAACTTAAGCGATAACACTTGCAACACTTCGGCCAAAATGAACATACATGAAATTTGTTTATAGATAAAGTACCACTGTTGTTTTGCAATTATCAGATAATTGTTTGAAAAATATAAACAAAAAATTATTTTGATAGGCAGGACTACGTATAACAAATTGCAAAGAAAAAAAGTGTTTCTGGTATTTAAGACAAATTAATATTAATGGCATTTTATAGGAAATAGTTCAAATTAGAACAATTATCTGTGTTATCGCATTCGTACATTAACCCATGGCGATATACGCTCTCGTTCTTAAAACTACGTATCATTGTCAACCGGATTACATGAGCATATTGTTTTGAGGTAAATTTAAATTGCATATAAATATGCCTGTAAAAAAAAACATATGACTGACATCAAATTATGTTCATGTTATTAAAATTTAAATTAGTTATTATTTATCACTTCAGTCGTGTCACACTCACGAAATTATTGATAAAATATTGACTAATATTGCGTGATATTCATAAATAATGCGCAAATAGTTTATAGTTAGATAAAAATTTGACAATATAAACATTAGTCGGAAATGAAGAACGGGCTGGGCCTACACTAAATATATTTTGCTGTAGTTGACGCGTACAAATTAATTAAAAAGAAAACAGATTTATTTTAACTTTGCCTATCACCGCCGCCTCTTATCATTCAACGATTAGTGGTATAAAGACAAGCAATTTGTAAATTGTTGTTTTCTCTTGTACTAACCATGCTGGGGTTTACCACACTGTTGTTGATCCTGCTAATTTTGTTTGCAATTTATTTGCATAAATCGGCCAAAAAGAGACCCAAAAATTTTCCACCAGGTTTGTTACTAAATCTAATTGGTAATATAACTTTACAATTCTTTAGGTCCTTCAAAATTACCGATATGGGGTAGTTACTGGTTTCTTCTCAAAGAAAACTACAATATGCTTCACTTATCAATGGAATCTCTGGCCAAACAATATAAAACTGACATTTTAGGGTTATTTTTAGGAGATTTTCCTACAGTTGTTACCTTGAGTCACGAACTAACGAAAGAAATGTTATCTCGAGATGAGTTTGTAGGTAGAGTAGACACCGTCATAGTGAGAGTTAGAAGTCGTGGAGAACCAAAAGGTAAGCATAACAACTAAAACTTATGAAACTATAACGGTGGTTCTTTAGGAATATTTTTTTCCGATGGTTCGTTTTGGAAAACACATCGAAAATTTTCGTTACGACATTTAAGGGACTATGGTTTCGGGCGACGTTCAGACGTTATGGAAAATTATGTAGCTGACGAAGTTAACTATCTACTGAATTTCCTTACTAGTGAACCAACAAAAGACGACATGGTACATATATTTAAAACTTTAGAAACTAGTAATGAGCAGAATTATTAACAGGAGGTTTGCAAGAGTAAAGGTCAGATCCTCGTACCAGATTTTCTTTATGGATCTCTTATCAATATTATAATGTCAATGATATCGTCCACTCAATTTGATCACCATAAAGTACGAAAATATGCAATAGCTGCATTGAATTTTATGAAAAGTGGGGATGCAACAGGAGGCGCAATTACCATAACTCCGTGGTTAAAATACTTCGCACCAGATTATTTTGGTTACACTTCAGCAGATAAAGATAATGCCTTTTTAGTAGGATTCATGAAAGTAAGTTCATTAGGTCAAGTATATGAGTGACAATAGTGAAGTTTTTCAGGAAATAGTAGATGAACATTTACGAACCTTTTCTGATGATCACCACCGGGATTTTATTGACGATTATATTAGTGAAAATTTGAAACAAGGAACTGAGTTAGACTGTACAACAATTTTGATTTAGTTTTTGAATTTATATTCACACATTTTTGTAGACAATCAACTTGCCCTCGTAGCTTTGGACTACATGTTTCCTTCTCCAGTAGGAGTAGGTCAAACGTTAAGCTTTTTCTTTGGCCTTTTGATAAATCACCCAGATGTCCAAATTAAAGTTCAAGAAGAATTGGACAGAGTCGTAGGACGATCAAGATTACCCACTTTAGATGATCGAAAAGAGTGTGTTTTCGACAAAACAAAGAGAAGTTTATTAAAATTTTGCTTTTAGTTTACCATATTTCGAAGCAACTCTTAGAGAAGTTCTTCGCCTAATTCCTGTGACACCTCTTGGTCTTCCAAGGAGATGTGTAGAAGACACAACACTGGGTGGTTATTTCATTCCGAAAGATACTATTATGTTGCCTAATCTGTGGACAGCACACAGAGACGAACGCGTTTATGAAAATCCTGACAAATTTCAGCCTGAACGATTTTTAGATGATCACGGTAATTTGATTAGAAAAGACACTACAGTTGCATTTGGTGCAGGTATGTCCCATTTTGTTTTGTTGATGAACACTTAGAAGCTTCTTTTAGGGAAAAGATTATGTGCTGGAGAGACGTACGCCCGACAAACAATGTTTTTGCTGATGACTGGTATTTTTCAAAATTTTACTATAAAGTCGTCTACTGGTAAACCTGTTAACTTTAATAAGATGTTGCCTGGGATTACTTTGTCGTTTAAAGAAAAGACCTGGGTCACTGCAATTCCAAGATAACAAACATAACTGTGCAATATGTTAGCGATAAGCTTTTGCGTAAACCTTTGTAAACTTAAGTTTGCTAATTTAAACTGTGTAACCCCATTTCTGTCATTATTATTATTCATGAAACCTTTCCATGAAATACAATAAAACTAAACGTCGTCTACACTACTAGATTTATTTTTAAATAAGATTTTTCATTAATTTTAATGTTATTACGGTAAGGCTTAATTTAAATATCTGGGATGGTGATAAAAAGAGGAGCATTACTAAATAATTTCACTCACGATCTCCGTATTTCGAAAATATTTATTCTCCACCTCTCAAAAATGTAATCAAAAAATCGTTACAAATATGTATGCCATAAATTTAGACAAACAAAGAAAAAAATCGTCATTATTGTAACTGGATGGTAATACAGTATCGGGAATCCAAATCATAGATCACGGTTACGGGATCGATGACTCTGATCAAGGCGATCGAGTCTTGTCAGTTTTCAGCATTATGTTATGTTGCGAAATTTATGAGCTACAACACATAGTCATCCTCGAGGGACGAGGGCTGTTACGTATTTGACCCCATCATTAATTTCCTCGCATTCTACGAAGAAGTAGGTACCCCAGGCAGGAACAAAATAACGAAAAATGTTAACGAGACAACTTGCTCTAAAATTTCTCCTACTAACGTTGTTGCAATTGACGGATCATTTTCTACTCATTCCTTTAGTTATTTTATTATATGTTTTAAAAAGAGTCTGACACGTGTTAAGTTGAGAACAAACTGTCCACAGCGCGAAATTTAATTTTCAAATCGGGACACTACAACACGTTAACATTTATCACAGATTGATTCTATAACCGAAAAATTAACCCAAAACTTTCTCAGCGCTTTAATTACTAAAACCAACTCTAGCAATTTTGAAGGTTCTAATTTATTTATTGTTGTACATTACCGAGAATAAAAAAATATCCAATTGTGGTAGATATTTACGATTTTAAATAGTATGTTATAAAATTATACATTACTTTTCTTATTAAAGGATGAAAGGTTAACTTGTACAAAATTTTAACTGACTTATAAAATCATCTAGGAGACAGAATTAGCAGAACTAGATAAAAAATAAACTTACAAAATTTAATTTTTTATTAGTGGTACAAATAATACTTGTCTTATTTCATTCGTTGTAACATATGGTACTTTATAAATAATAACGCACTGATAAAGTCATGATCTCCTCGGCTGAAATATCTTACGCGCGAAATCAGTCATCAGCATTACATAAAGTAAGAATATTTACACAATAACTTAATATTATATTGTACTATACCGATTAAGCTTACATTCTTTAGCGTTGATCGGATTTTGACACAGTTGTATGACTATTAAATACCATAATAAATACTGAAAATATCAAACTTTTTTAATCACTGGTGCCGCAACCCTTTGTTCGTTAACATTCGAGCTATCAAACCTATAGTCTCCACCGTAATGATTTAAAGCGAGAACTTTCGAAACAATATTCAGGTCTTCCTGTTGTTTTCCTCTTATGAAACCTGAATTGTACAATAAATGATTCAACTGTTGATTAACAACAGGAGGTTGTGCTTGGTTAAATCCAAATGGCAAAGACTTGATAGTTTCCACACTTGATCTAAAGAACCTGTTGCTATTTGGATGCGACGGAACAGCTTGGTTAAAGCGGTTAAAATTATTAAAACTATTAAAACCATTATTTAAGTAATTCCCTGTAGTTGCTTCTTGTCGAAATACACGATGATGTTTAGGTGCGGTGAGTGTCAACTGTGGTTCAACCGTCGGTACTAAATTGAATGTAGAAACACTATTCTCTAAAGGTGGTTGCTGATGACTCAAATAATTAAATTGTTGAAAATTACTAGTAGAAGCAAATGGAGACCGAAAGTCTATCGCAGTTTTAACAGGAAGTTGTTGCGCATTGAGTGGTAAAACCCCTGAAGGATGCTGATGTGAAGTGAAACTGATGCTTGGTTGGAACGATACCAAACTTCCTTTGACCCTAGAGTTGTCACTGTTAAATACTACGTTTCTTTGCGTAGTCGGTTCAAAGCTGCTGATTGTGGGAAGAAACGGCTGCTGAGTAGGAAGGAATGATTGTTGAGTAGGCAGAAACGGTTGCTGTGTTTGAATAATGCGCGCCTGCTCATCCAAAATCTTCTGTTTCTGGAGCTGCAACTGTTGCTGATGGAGAATTTGTTGCTGTCGAATCAGATAATTCTGTTGTTGCTGCTGTTGTTTTAACTTCAAAATTTCAGCTTCGAGTGCTCTTTGTTTGTCCTGAAGTGCTAACTGTGTTCTGAATTGCTCCTGTTGCTGCTGACTAAAAGGTCGCTGTGTGGTTAAAGCTTCAAATTTTTGCTCCTTTAATTTTTGTTCCGCTTTCTGGACAGTGCGATAAATCGGTTCCACACTTTTAGGTAATCCTCTTTCATCTTGATGGACAGTAAACGCTGCAACTAGCGGTGCCGAAAAGAACTGGACATCTTCAACTTTAGCTTCGCTTTCTTCCGTTGACGTAGTTATTCTGACCGTCGTAGTTTCCGCTTTTGGAGCCTTTGAAAGTTTTGTCGTCGTTTTCGTTACGGACGAGAGTGCGTTCGGGTTCTGATTTTCGGTTTTGCTGTGTGAAAACTTATTGGATGAAGAACTAAAGCTACTCGTGGCGCTGGTGAGTATATGTTCGTGTTCGTTGTTTGAATCGACACGATATTTTTCTAAAGTATTAATCGGTTTTTGTTGTAGACTTTGCTGTATTAGAACTATCGATTTCGCGGTAGATTCTTCCGTTGTAGTTTGTTTCTCTGTGGGTGACGAATCAGTGCTTGCGAAGAATGACAGTGCGGATGCTGAAGCTTTTTCAACAATCTTGTCTCTGGTGTCTACGTGTAGCAAAGGGCCTTGTGTTTGCTTCTTCTGGTTTTCTTCGTTTTCTAATTCGGTTAAAGCTTTCAGAAGTGCTTGTCGAAGATTCGCATCTAAGTTAACTGGCGGTTTGCGTGGTGGGTTAATTTCGTTGATTTCTTCTTCTCTTGCATGCGCTAAGGCCAAAACGAGCATGAGGAAATGTGCCTGAAACAACAAATAAGTAAGTAAGTGAAAATTGTTGTAGTTGCACTTGCTAACGAATTCGTGACAAGAATTATAAATTCTAAAGAAAGTCACTACAATGTGAGAAAGTTCAGACCTAACGAAGTCGCACTGTTACACAGCAAAAAATTAAATAAATTAGTACATAGGAATTTACTACATTGCATAAGGAAGTTATAAAACCTATACTGATGCCACTTGAGAAAATCGTTCAGGTTTCATCAATGTTACGAATTAATTTTCACAATTTTTGACAACGGTATTATTACATAAATCTCCACGGAAATCGTCCTAATTAAGACATTGCAAAAGAAACGACGAAAGTTTTCGCCGAAACCGCGTAAACACATGTGCGAAAACGGAAAATCTCCATATATCACTAAAAGCGCCGGTATTTGTCTGATGTCGAAGAGAGTTTCCGATTCGAGTGAAAGCGAGACTAAAAGACGCATAACGCACTTTGCTACTGCATGACTACACCCGAGGGCCCCATTGACCCACATCCGCATATCCGAACAAGTGTCATCACTACATATAGCACTGCCGGATTGACATCCGGAGGTAGGACGTCCCATGAGGTGTAATTAAGAAGTTTGTATGTGTTAAAGATTCGCTGGAAAATCTGAGGTCACGATGTATTAAGAAAAGAGCTTCTCAGGGTCGAGGTGCTCCAGGCGGTTTTGTATTGTTGGTAATGAAACCGAAGAAAGTTTCACAACAAGACGCTAATTTTAACATCATCATTGTGGGGTTTATTCATATTCAATACCGTTTTTGTGATATAGAATTAATACCAAAAGAGGTAGCCGTAGGTTAACAAAGGAGTGTCGATTTGCTATTCAAATTAATATCTTTTGAATGAAATGTTGACAGTGAAAGATTCTTACCAAAATTGGGTTTTCAATGAAATCTTCGTGTAGTTGTTTGCTATTTTATATTAGATACAAGTTTAGATTAATGAGGATGATTTTCTATGCTTTCATTTCTGGTTCATTCAAAATGATTTTGGTAAAATGTTAATCGCTCACATGTTGAATTAGAAAACTGTTTTATAAACACAAGTAATAACAATCTGTCTTGACTAGTTTTTGCAGAAAAAGTTATATTCTTATAAAACGACATCAACAACTGGTGGGATAAAAGATCGTATCTCGGTACCTGCGTACTTAGTAATTTCTGGATGGAATCAAAAAATAAATTTTAGTTAACATTCTTTAATCCTTATACATCGTCTTGTCAGTACTTCAACGAAGTCTATTATGTAATTTCTAAGACAAGTTGTAAAATTTGTTTACACAAAATTTATATTTTCTAGGACAACATTTATGCGTTAAGTTAAAAGTAGGGTTGTAGCACATTTCACGCGAGAGGTACCCATCAAAGTTATAAGATGAAATCATACATTTTTGGAGAGTATGAATAGGCACATTATGATTGACAGATTATCATCTTTACGATAATTTCAAAAAATACGTAAGTTTTTTTGTTAATTTTTATGGTAAGCTTTGCAGTACCTTCTCAAAAATTTGTGTCATTTTTGTAACAACTGTAAGTATGGTCTCAAATTTTGAAGTACATTTTTCACCCAAGAGAGAAAGAATGCGGAAATGTTTATTGAGAACATTTTTTATGACACTTCACTGAAGAAATTGGTTTGGATTATTTGGATTTTCAGAACCGCGAAGAATTATTCATAAAAACCAACGAGGTTTACCTTACGGACACTTTACGTGTGGTAATTACAGTATGCGTATTCTGCTTTCTTAAATAATAGCTTTATCATTTTCTCACCAATTGTTAGACCACAACACAACAGAACCTGATTTCCTAAAGTGAAATGAAAAGTACAGGAGTGCAGATAGTACTGCACGATAGATGAGATAGTTTATACGTTTACAATAAGTCCTGGGACATTGACCACATTTTATCTTAATTTATCCATTAAATAGAGTTTACTAACAATATTCAAAATACAAGAAAATTCTACCTTGTTACACTTAAATTTGGAGAAAAAATACATGATCACGTGGGAACGACTTTCATAACAATTAGTGTATTTCATGTTCACTGAGTGCTGTTGTCCCATTTAAACATAATTATGAAACTACTAAAATAGTATTTCAATATAAGAAGTGGTGGTCGATTTAACTTTCATTTAATGCAATATTAATAAAAAATAAATAAATAGAAATTGAATTTTCAATATACAAGAAAATATTGTCTATTATATTATGCTTTATGCCAATTACAAAACTTGAGGCACAATTTTTAAAACTTGGCTACTATTCAAAAATTGTCTTCCTTTTCAGTAAACAGGATTTGAAAATTCTTATTCAACAATGCTTAGAATTGTGGTATTATGTAAATTGGTTATTGTTAAAAGATAAAAAATTGACGAAAATGGTCTAGACAGTATATTCCTGGCCCCTGAAGCACAATCAAACAAATTCGAAATTTTAAATAAATCATAAAATTTTAGAGATTAGAATTGTCTAGATAATGCCAACGTGGTTGGCGAAACGCGTCAACAAATACTTTTTATGTGTTTTCGGTGTTGTGGGAATAAATGTTATATAGTGCGTTTTTTTACGAATACACCATAACTCGTGTTAATATTTTTTTCACTGCAAAATTCTTTTTGGTATACGCTTTGTTTACATAATTTCTTAATCGTTCCGGCAGTTTTTGAAGCCCAAGAAGTAAAAGTTTTTTAAAAAATAAAATTATTCTAATTTTTAATGCATTTGTTAAAGCTGGCCAACTTCATTAGAGAAAATGCTTAATTATCACCAAAGATTGCCAGGCTGCAGCCATTTGAATTTTTTCCTGAGTTCTATAAACGTAAATGTCAGGAGACACATGTCATCAGAAATATTAAATGTCAGGCAAAATAATTAAAACGATGGAATTAGTTCAATTTTTAAATGGACTATTTTTACTTTTTTGGTTCTAAAAATTACCAGAATTTGTAAAAAATAATGTGAACTAAGCATGAACTAAAAAGAATTTGGAAATTCGAAGTAGAAACACAATTAATACGATTTAAAATTTACACCATGTAAATCTGATGCATTTGTAAAAAAAAATGCACTGTACAATATTTGTTACAACGCACCAAGTGATCAATAAGTCTCATAAAATTTTATTCTGCGAAGTTAAATGTTTTTTTAGCTAATAATAAATAATTTATAATAAATTAAACTGAACAATAAGTTTGGATGATTATTGATTAGACTGTAGATAAAGAAGTATGCTATTCGTATGTTTCATGTGAGTTTTTTCATAACACAATGTTGTGATGACGTCATTTGACTGCCAGCAATAGTACTGTGTTCCCAGAATTTCATAAAAATAAGCTAAGCCGTTTTTTATTTAATCAATAATAAATTACTTCATTAATTTTTTTTTCAGACAATATGTATAGGCATTTCTTAAAATACAGGTACACACAAATATGTATAAATTAATAATATTTTGTACATTTTAGATAGGATTTATGAGCTTTATCTAGCAAATTTTGGCATGACTGCATCAAATTCTTGGTAGGGATCATTAGACAAATTTTGCTTATTCCTAAAACACATCTACAATTTAACAACAACAACAGTAGTTAAGCAATTATCTGCCTATAAGCTAAGCTTTTAAAAAATAAAATCGCCAATGGACGACAGACGAATGAAGACGGAAAAGGGAGACCTACTTCTTTCAGACAATATATAAATAAACTTACGATCAGATAAGTAAACAAAAAGTAAAAATGATATATCTTATTTTACACATTCTAAGTACGGAATCCCATTTGAATTTTTTTCTTAAACAAGTAATTAACTGTTAAAATGTATTTAATTAAAACGTTCATAACCATTCTGACAAGCGCACGTTCAAAAATTTTGAGAAAGTTGGAGTATTTGTATAATCACAATGTATCGTGAGATTTTTTTATTACTGTAGAAAATACTATAGCAATAGTAAGTTTAATTTTTCTTTTTTTCTAAAGTCGCAAATATACCTTATTTAGATAAAATACTTTTTATTGTTAATGTGACTTTATAACCGTGGAATATTAAAATTAAATTTATTAGGAATTTTTGATGGAAGAAAACGAAGTAACAGTTTTTTAATAAAGATACTTCAACGATAGAAAAATTATATGTTAAATAGTTGTCGATTTTGATGTCATCTTTTAGTCCCAAATAGAATAATTCTTTTTTTTTAAAGCTCTAACGTTAAGAGTTTTCTTAGAGAAGTTTTATAAAAGCTATGATTATAAATAGGTTATGCATTGCTTGTCTTTTCTTTGTCTAGACAATCACTAGAAACCTGTACATAGTTAAATATTTATTTACACTGATCATCGTTTGAAAGCGTACAGTTAGTCAAACTGATGAGAAATTTGTCAATATTGTCATTGTGTAATATCCTTTTCAAAATTTTTTGTTTGACGTCAGTTTATTTTCTAAACAGAGTTGAAACAGTATAATTGATGAAATTTAATGTGTTTATTTAAAAATTATTATCAAAATAAAATAAGTTATTTTGACACCCTTAGTTGGCAGCCAGGCAAGTTACTGTTACTGTTGAAGAGTTGATAATTCTGCCAATATATAGTCGTGGAATTACCCCAAGCCAAATTTTTTCTCTTTCTATCTTATGCACTTTGTATGAGACAAAAAAAATCAACAAATTAGAGTAGGTCGTAGAGTCTTATGTCAAATTTTGAAATTTTGTCCCAGCCAAAATTGAAGCGATGTGACAACCAAGCAAAACAATTAACTTTAAATGTGTTAGACTACCTTGATAGAAATCAAGATGTTTTGAAATTTAAGAAAAAAGTAAGACAGAACTGAACATATTCGTAACATGTAAAAAATTACTTACGAAAAGTTACTAAAAAATATCACATTATAAGTGTTTTTGACTAGGGGTATTTCCCCGACTATAATATAAAAATCGTTTTGCGATGACAAATGTCGATTATCTGT